CTTGAAGACAACCTAAGGAATAAACTCCTTGATATTGGTTTTTTTTTATTAACATCTTTCTTGAGTATAGTTGCTTTGCAATGGTGTGTTAGTTTCTGCTTTATAACAAAGTGAATCAGCTATACGTATACATATCTCCCCACATCTCCTCCCTCTTGCGTCTTTGATACTGGTTTTGACAAAGACTTTTTGGATACTTGTACCAAGGGTGCAAGTGACAAAAACCAAAATAAACAAGTGGAACTTGTTTCATATGAAATAAAAACTAAAATAACAAAAAAGCAAAAAACATTAAACTAAAAAACAACACTTCTACATAGCAAAATAAACAATCAGCAAATACAAAGGAAACCTACAGAATGGGAGAACATATGTGGAAACCATCTCTCTGATAAGGGCTTTATCCAAAATACATAAAGAATATATAAAGCTCAATGGCTAAAAAGATAAAAATCTGGGATAAAGACTTGAATAGACATTTCTCCAAAGAAGGCATCCAAACGACAAACAGATACGTGAAAAGATGCTCATCTAAATATCAGGGAAGTGCGAATCAAAACCACAATGAGATATCACTTCATACCTGCTAGAATGCTTATGTGAAGGAAAAAAAAGGGCAACTCTTATGTACTTTTGGTGGAAGTGTAAACTGGTACAATCGTAGGAATCAAAAAGAATGGAATTGGAGCCTTATCTTACATCATTCACATAATTTACCTCAAAATGGATTAAATATTTAAATGTAGGACTTGAAACAATAAAAATCCTAAAAGAAAATATAGGAGTAAAGCTCCTTGACATTGGTCTTGGCAATAATTATTTTTTGCATATGACCCCAAAATAACAGTCAACAAAAGGAGAAATAAACAAGTGGGACTATGTCAACCTAAAAACCTTCTGCACAGTAAAAGAAATAATCCAAAGAATGAAAAGGCAACATATGCAATGGGAGAAAATATTAACAAACCGTCTTATCATAAATGGTAATTATCAAAGTATATAAATAAATCATACAACAGCAAACAAACAAAACCAAATAATCTGATTAAAAATGGTTAAAAGATCTGATTAGACACTTTTCAAAAAATAGTACAAGTGTCCAACAGGTACATGAAAAGGTGTTCAGCATCATTCATCATCACAGAAATGCAAATCAAAACTGTAATGAGATACCACCTCACACATGTTAGAATGGCTACAGTCAAAGAGACAAGAGATTACAATTGTTTGCAAGGATGTGGACAGAAGGAAATCCTTTTTGGTGAAAATGTAAATTACTACAGCCACTGTGAAAAACAGTATGGAGGTTCCTCAAAAAATTAAAAGTAGTCATTTTGTTGTCCCAGTACCATTTGTTGAAGAGACTATCATTTGCCCATTGAGTATGTGTGACTCCCTTCTCAAATATTGGTTGACTTTATATGCAGGAGTTTATTTCTGGGCTCTCTATTCTGTTCCACTGACTATGTGACTATTTTCTTGCCAGTACCATACTGTCTTAATTACTGTATCTCTGTAATATAGTTTTAAATCAGGAAGTTTGATGCCTCCCAACTTGTCCTTTCTCAGGATTGCTTTGGCTATTTGGGGTCTTTCGTTTGATAAAGTTTAAGATTTTTTTTCTATATCTGTGAAAAATGTCATTAGAATTTTGATAGAGATTTAATTGAATCTATAGATGTGTACTATGGACATCTGAATGATATTAATTCTTCTGATCCATGGGCATAGTACATCTTTCTATTTTATTTTTTCTTCTTCAGTTTTTTTCATCAAAATCTTCAAGTGTTTACTGTACAATTATTTCCCTTCCTTGGTTAAATTTATTCCTAACTATTTTATTGGTTTTGATGTTATTGTGAATGGAGAAAGAATAGCATCTTCAACAAATGCTGTTGGGAAAATTGGAAAACCACATGCAGAAAAATGAAATTAGACCCTTATAGCACTCACAAATATTAATCAAAATGGATTAGAGACAAACATAAGGACTGATACCCTAAAACTCCTGGAAGGAAACATAGAGAAGAAGTGCCTTAACATTGGTCTTGGCAATGGTTGTTTTGGATATGACCCTAAAAGCATAAGCAACAAAGGTAAAAAATCAGTAAGTGGATCTACATCTGCCTAAAAAGCTTTTGCACAGCAAAAGAAACAATCAACAAAATGTTAAGGGAGAATACAGAAAAAGGAGAATATGTTCTCAAAGCATATATTGGATAAAAGGTTAGTATCCAAAATCGGTTTATATTGAACTCATACAACTCAACAGCAAAAACAAACAAGCAAAAACAGCAAACAAAATCCAATTTAAAAATGGGCAGTAGAATTGAATACATACTTTTCCAAAGAAGACTTCTAAACGGTCAACAAGTACATGAAAAGATGCTCAACATCCCTAAAAAGTGGGGAAATTCAAATCAAAACCACAATGAGGTATCATCTCACAGCTTTAGAATTACTATTATCAAGACAAGAGGTAAGCATTGGTGAGAGTATGGAAAAAAGGGAACCTTGTGTACTGTTGGTGGGGATATAAATAGTTTAAACGTCACTATGGAAAAACTAGAGGTTGCTCAAAAAATTAAATATAGGACCATATGCTGCAGCAATACCACATCCTGGTATATAGCAAAAGGAAATAAAAGCAAGGTATCAAAAGTATATCTGCACTCGCCTGTTTATTGCATCATTATTCACAACAGAGGAATCAATAAAGAAGATGTGGTGTTTACATACAATGGGATATTATTCAGCCTTAAGGAAGGAGGAAAAAAAAAAGGAAGAAAGAAGAAAACCCTGCCATTTGAGACATCATGGATGAGCCTTGAGGGCATTATACTTAGTGAGATAAGCCAGACAAAGACAAATATTGTATATTACCTATATATGGACTCTAAAACCAAACCCTTAGCAACAGAGAGTAGAATGGTGCTTACCGGGGGTGAGGGGTGGAGAAATTGGGGAGATGTTGTTAAAAGGCACAAACTTGATACTAGAAGATGAATAAGTTACGTAGACCTAACACGCAGCGCAGTGATCACAAACGACAATACTGTTTTATATATCTCAAAATTGCTAAGATGCTGGATCATAAATGTTCTCACCAAAAATAAATTATAATTATGGGATGTGATATAGATGTTAAGTAAAGCTATGGTGGTAATCAGATTGCAGCATATAAATGGTTCAGATCACACTGTAAACTTTAAAAAAATTAAAAGTAGAACTGTATAACCTTATATGTATGTGTATTCTAAAAGAGCCAAACTCTAAAAGAGAAACAGAGAATAGAACGGTTGTTGCCAGGGCCTGGGGAGTGGGGAAAATGAGGAGATGGCGGTCAGAGAGTATCAACTTCCAGTCATAAGATGAATAAGTTTTGGGAAATCCAACGTACATAATGGTGACTATATTCTTGAAAGGCGCTAAGAACGTAGACCTCAAATGTCTCATCACACAAAAAATAAATAGTTAAATAACCTATGGTCATTGTTCCACAGTATACAGTTTATCAAATAACTATGTTGTACACTTTAAGCTGACCAAGTGTTATGTTAATTGTATCTCAAGAAAGCCGGAAAAAATATTTCAAGACGGTGACAGCAGAGCATGAAAACAAGCACAGGCTTCTCTGAGCAAAGGACCCAGTGTGACAGCAAAAGTGTCACACCTGTGGGGCTGGCCCTTATTGAACCTGCAAAGACGCACCTACAACCTGCCTGAGCTCCCACCTGGTTCACTATGGCAATCTCCTAATCGGCCCCCTGATTCTCCTTTTGCCCCTTCAGACCATTTGTGGGACAGCAGCCAGAGTAAGTCAGATGATGTCCCTCCTCTGCTTAAAACCCTTCCCTGGCATTTCACCCAGAGTAGAAGCCAAAGTCCTTTCAACGGCTGACAAGCCTGTTCACAACTCCCAGGACTCTGTCCCCTGCTCACTTAACTTCAAACACACGGCATTCCTGAGGGTCCTCAAAAGTGCCAGGCACGTCCCTTCCTTGTGGCATGTTCCCTTGCTCTTCACTCTGCTTTGCCACCGGTGACACTCTGCATGTCTTACTCACTGACAAATATTTACAAATATTTACGGAGCACAGACTACGTGCCAGACACTATTCAAGGCATAGATGGTTGCATCCAGCATCCCTCCGATCATTACCGAGGTGGAGCATTGTTTCGTAAACTCACAGTCAATTTTATAGATATTTTTCTGGAAAAAATAAATAGATAATATGGGAGCGTGGGAATCTTTCAGGCATAAACCCAAAAAATTAATATAAATGTTATAACTGCCAGGAATGTGGAGCACAGCTTCCCACCCCTTAAACATGGACACCCTTGCAAATGGTACAGACAGAATGGACTGGGGGAAAGAGGAACTTTATAGTGGAGGAACCTGACAAGCCCTCCTTCAGCCAGGAGACCAGGGTCACATCAACAGTAAAAAGCCACAGGGACTTCCCTGGTGGTGCAGTGGTTAAGAATCCACCTGCCTGTGCAGCGGACACGGGTTTGAGCCCTGGTCAGGGAAGATCCCACATGACGCGGAACAGCTAAGCCCATGCGCCACAACTTCTGGGTCCACGTGCCACACTACTGAAGCCTGCGCGCCTACAGCCCGCGCTCTGCAACAAGAGAAGCCACTGCAATGAGAAGCCCCTGCTCGCCTCAACAAGAGAAAGCCCGCGTGCAGCAACAAAGACAGAACGCAGCCAAAACTAAATAAATAAATTTATTTTTTTTAAAAAAGAATTACATGTTATTACAATGTCCATCCATATAGTTAGCAATGTAAGTCAAGATAAAGAGTGATCTGGGGTTTCCCTGGTGGCGCAGTGGTTGAGAGTCCGCCTGCCGATGCAGGGGACACGAGTTCGTGCCCCGGTCCGGGAAGATCACACGTGCCGCGGAGCGGCTGGGCCCGTGAGCCATGGCTGCTGAGCCTACGCGTCCAGAGCCTGTGCTCCGTGGTGGGAGAGGCCACAACAGTGAGAGGCCCACGTACCGCAAAAAAAAAAGAAAAAAAGAAGCAATGAACCAGCCCGTTCAAACTTTCCTGGGACCCACCTAAGAAATACTTTTTACTTTGCAACCTGTATCTATCTCTTTTTGAAAAAAAATTCATGAAACAACATTTACCCTAATTATGTTTGAGGCACTCTGATATTGCCTATTACATTGTATTCATTTATTATAAGTGGTGATTATGCCCCTGTCAAATTGATCTCACCAGCCGCTACTGGGACCCAACCTATCATGTGTAAAACACTGAATTAGATTTACACATATACCAACAGGGGTGGCCTCAAATCATGCTGTTGGGTGAGAATAGTAGGAAACAGAACAAGATTTATAGCATAATGCCACTTAGGAAAGCAAAAATCACACACACACACACACACACACACACACACACACACATACAAGGATACACAATGGTTAAGGATATACATCAAACACATTAGAGGTGGTACCACTGGGCGAACGAAAAACGGAAAATAAACTTCAGGAGGACCTGGATTCAAGGATGCCCGCGTGCTGTGATCTGAGAATGGTTGGCTGGGCTCGGAACTGGGGTCCAACAAAACAAAAGACGGGGGCGTCATTTACTGGAAAAGTTTGAGGATCACATAAATATCCAGAAAATACATAGGAGCTGGAGAATGTCGCATTTAGAATTCTTGAAATGTATTTTAAAAATCAATTCATAAGGTCAGAGACAAAATATCATCCAGGGCAAAGTTGGAAGAGAGGAGGAAGGGTCCCCTCACCACCGACAAAGTGATACCAGATGAAAAGGAGGTGGTCGGCTTGCAGGCTGGCAAAGAGCGCGGTCTCAGAGGCCTGGCCGGTCAGTGCACCCCCGGCGCACTCCAGGGGAGGGGGCTTATGGAGGGAGCCACGATGACTCCAGGGAGGGGCTCTCTGTCGAGTGCACAGCCCCCACCTCATTGCGCTCTTGCCCGAAGCCCCTGCCGCCCAGGAGGCTGCCTGCCCCCAGCCCTTGGTTACAGCTTTTCTGGACCAGGACGGGCCCCTAGCCCCAGACTCACCAGTGCTCAGACCATCTGCTTCCCTTTACACCGAGCAGCCTCGTTTTCCTCGACTAAGGAGATTCTCCGGGAACCTGAACCCAGAAGGGGGAGATCATTGCCATCGGGGTGAGGGCTGCAGCAGGAGGGTCTGGAATCTGGGCAGGAAAGACTGGTCTGGGGCGCGGGGGGGGGGGGGGGGGCGGGCAGAGTTCCGGGGAACAAAAACTGGGGCCAGCCAGGAAGGCAGCGGTGGTAGCGTGGAAACAGACCCTGAAAGCATGGCTGGGTTATTTACCAGCACAACACAGAGCTGGGCTTATAAAGGGAAATCCTACGAGGGCCAGGCAGGCAACACAGAAGAGTGAACAGAACGGGGGGACGGTAAAACTGGGGGGCTCCCCAGAGCACAGTCCATGCAAAGGGCAGTCACCCAAAGTGGCCACTGTTCCCATGCAGAAAAGGGACCCTCAGGGTCCAAACTGTCTCATTTTCAAGAGAAGCCAATAAATCCAGAATCTAGTGTAAAACCTCCCAATTTATTTTATTTTAATTTTTTGGCCACCCCGTGCGGCATGCGGGATCTTAATTCCCCAACCACGGATTGAGCCCGTGGCCCCTGCAGTGGAAGCGCAGAGTCTCAACCCCTGGACCACCAGGGAAGTTCCAAACCTCCCAATTTTTGAATTGACAACACTTCTTTGCTTTTAACACGTCTACAGACTGAGGTGGTAAGTGGCCAGACGCCCAGACCCTGCTGGTTCAGGCCTGGAGGATCCCCTCTGACCAGCCCTCCACGCCCCTGTGGGGGACCATCCCTCCCTCCCTTCTCACTCCTCTGGCCCCTGTGACAGCATGCCTTCCTTGTAAAGGTCAAAGCTAATAAACGGGGTGATGGGTATTTCCTGGGCTTCCCAGAGCCTAGGCAAAGCCCTGCCTCAGCTTTTAACTTCTCTTGTCATCATTCCGTGCTCACCACCAATTCCTGGTGTCTAATTTTGCTTCCTGGACCCTTTGATCCGGCAGGCGGGGTGCCCTGGTTAAGGAAGAGCACCGGCCCCTTTTGGGAAGGGACGGGCTGTCAGTCTGCTCTCTACAACTGCCCTGGGTGTGCCTAGTTACGGGGACCATCGCCTAGGGACGGAGTGTCTCAAAGTGCGCTGACAACTCCAGGGTCCACGCCTGCAAAGAAGGTGCTAGAAGTCTCCCCAACTCTGCCTGGAAATCTGCAGGTCCTGGTGCCCTGGAGGGGCACCCATCTCCAGGATGGCCTTGCCTGTAGAAAGGGGAGACCCTACAGAAAGGACACCCTCTGAGTCCACCTACATCCCTGCTGCATCCATTCATCCCTTCAACCGGGTCAGTCCCCTTCCCCACCGCCCTTGCCCTGGTGGGGAACTGGTGCCGTGGGGTCCCCTGAGGCGACACCCTCACCCGCAGCATAAACATCACACCTGCTACCCACCTGGCCCAGAGCAAAGCACTGTGAAGCAAAGCCCCAGGGCAGGCGGGGAAGCCCCTGGGCCACTATAATGCCTACACAAAGTCTCTGCTGCAGTCAGGCGACTGGGAAGAGGTCGGGATGCAGGGCTAGAGCTTGAGGCAGAGGGGGCAAAGGGCGGGTGGAGGTCTGGCTGGAGGGGATGGAACCGGCCTGGACTCAGGAAACCTGAGGAGGGCGATGGGAGAAGAGAAAGACCCAGTGGGTGAAGTCAGGGCGCTGGGGAGAAGGTGGGGAGGGGACGGGAAGGGAACAGGGAGAGGCAAGTGGGCGGGTCCACAAAGAACGGAGAGTTGGAGGGACCAGGAGTCCAGGCTTCGGGCAGGCAGAGCTAATCATCAGCTTTGAAACTGCCCAGTGAACTAGGCAGCTCCTAGCAGACTCCCCGTTATTGCCTCTGGGTCTCCCCACGTGTCGGCCCGAGAACCCACACCCCAAGTGCTCAAAGGAGAAAAACCCGGGGCAGGGGCCTCCCTAGTGGCAGAGTGGAGCCTGCCTCAGCTAAGCTTCTCTGGGGTCAGGGGTCAGTGCCCACCCTGCGCCAGGCGCAGTTGACAGAGTCACTGCCCCCACGACCCTCGCAACACCCAAAGGATGCGTTTCCCCGTTTGACAGAAAACCAAGGCTCACGGAGGGGAAGTGATTCGCCCAGAATGCATCTGAGGCTGCTCCATCAATCCGCAAGCCTTACGGCCCAGTCCCTGCTCTTAGAACCGGGCACGCGGGGGTGAAAGAGAGACAGGCCTAGCACTCAACTGTGTGCTGTACTTCAGAGAGGGAAACGGACAAATAGAGAAGGTCAGCTAAGGATCAAGAAAATACGAAGGCCCACAACACTGTAAATCAACTATATTTCAATAAATTTAAAAAAGAAAAAGAAAAAAGGAATGAATGAGACAATATATACAAAAAAAAAAAGAAAGGAAGAAAACACGAAGGTAACAGGGTCAAGTGTGTGTGGGATGCTACTCTGGCTGGTGAACTCAAGGGAGGTCCTTGAAGAGGTGACAGTCTGCCCAGCAGACCCCCAGGGAAGGCCTGTCACACAGAGGGAACCGTGAACACAGCATCCCTGAGACTGGACAGAGCTTCCCGCCCAGGGCACAAGCGGGCACGTGCAGCTGGAGCTGAGGGCAGAGGGGTGGGCCTGCAGAGAGAGGGGACGGGAAGCTGCAGGACAGAGGCTGAGGGTGGAGGCAGGGTGGCCCAGCAGGAGGCTGTTACGCAGGCCTCCACGTTAGAGGTGATGGGCCTAGAGCTGGCGAGAGGATGGTGGACCAGGGGTGCAAGGGAAGAGACAGGAGGAGGATGTGGGCCTGAACTGGGGAGGCTGGGGAGGGAGCAGAAATGAAGGGGACGCAGATTTTGACCCTAAAACCCAAGCATCTTACCCCTGACGGGGACTTTGTCTCTTTCTCCTTTGTCCCTCATTAGCCAGGCCAGCGGGTACAGAGTAGGTATACAATTAACTCATTCATATATTCAATTAATATTTATTGAGCGCCTACTGTCGTGCCTGGCAAAGTCCTTGCTCCTGTGGTGATAGAGGGGAGGGAGAAGAGAATGGAGGATCTTTGTTTCAGGTGCGGTGGTCACCGCAGGCTTCTCTCCGACCTCCTTGGGGGAGTGAGGTGGTGAGTCTTAGCTGTGAATATCTTGAAGAAGTACCTTTCAGGCAGAGGAAGCAGCAAGTACGAAGGCCCGGAGATGGGAGGGTGCTCACTGAGTTTGTTGATTCATTAATCGGTACCTGTGCCCTTGCCTTGGAACTTTCTAAGATCAGTGCCTGGGACTTTCTCATCAGACAGGAGTAGTCAGAGGGGTGAGTGGGGGCCACATCCTCCCTTTATGCAATTGCTCTTTCCCCAACACTGGCCAGGCCTAGAAGCAGGACAGGTGGAGGAGAAAAGGCAGAGACAGTCAAGCAAGAGGGTGGGTTCTGTGCTGTCCCACTACTCACCCCCAGGCTGTTCCTGGTTTTAGCCCCTGAAGGTCCCACCCTGTCATTCCCCTCCCCCCCCCCCCCCCCGGCACTGGGAAGCCCCTGCCCCTCACGACAGTCACTCCTGCTGAGTGGAGCTGCTGTCTCTCACTCTGCCACACCCGCTCTGCTCAGCTCCGGCACCACGGAGGGACCTAGGAGAGCAAATAGTGCAAATGAAGGGCCTGCCCAGGTGAACCCTAACCGCGCCGCCTGCAGTGCAAGTGCGGAGTCTTAACCACTGGACCTCCAGGGGAAGTCCCCCGGCTTTCTTACGCTCATAAAATAATTGGAAGCGGACCATCACTTCCTCATCATCATTCCTCAGTCATTTCTACTTCTCCAGCAATCTTGCTGACATGTCGCTCTAAATTCCACCGATTCAAGACTTTCTATTCTTACCAAGAAAGCATAACAGGCAGCAGACCCCCAAACAGTCCTGACCACACACGGAACAAGGCAGGCGCTAGGTTAACGTACCTGACGCGGTTTCTGCGGCAGCGACAGAATCAGATGAACCTCTGACAGGGAGATGCCCGGGATGGGGCTTGGGGTGGGGCGGCGGGAGCGTTAGGTGCCAGCTGAGAACGTCCCCGGGCAAAGTCACCGGGGAGCTGCCTGCCTGAGTGGGCCAAGTAACTTCCCTCACCCTGCTTCGAGACGGAGAAGGGAGACCCTGCTTCACCTTAGGCGGCAACCCCCTCCCTGTTTATCAACAGCTGAGAAGGGCTGGGAGGGTCTCAGCTGGAATTTACCCTTCTTGGGGTGGGGACGTTGTGCGCTGCCCCCTTGAGAACTCAAGCCCCATCAAAAGTCCAGGAAGAACAAGGACTTTTGTCTTGTCCTATTTGCCTTCTGGATGGTCCCTGCGGAGGCGAGCAGGGCTGTACGCCCCGCTTTGGGGGAGAGAAAAGGGACGCAGGAAAGACGGCCCCGGGGAGTCCACTCCGTTCACATTTACCGAAGCCTCGCAAGACCCCCGACCTTTCACGGGCATCATCTCATTTATCGCCCGTGGCTCAGAGACGGAAACAAGAGCCCAGGATCACAACGGCCCACGGTGGTGGAGCTGCAGAGCCCGGGCGCGCGCCTGCCGTCTGGACGCCGCCGCCTCCCCGGACGCTCGGGCGGACCCGCCGGGGCGGACCCGGCTCCTGGGCCCCGGGCCCTCGAGGAATCGGCGCCGCGGGCACAGCCGTGCCCTGAGACTGGGGAGCGGCTCCGGGCCTGCAAGTCGGCCGGGTCAGCCCTCCCCCAGGGCCCGAGCCTCCCCTTCGGGCCGGGTCCTGGCCCCTGCCCCTGCCCGGGGGCCCCTCCGGCGGCCCCGCTGACTCAGCGCAAACCGAGCCGCGGCGGGCGGGCGGGCGGGGAGGCGCCTGGCCCGACCAGCCGCCCGGGGGCAGCAGTTCCGCCCGCTCCTCCCTCCGGCCCGCCCCGCCCCCGGGAAGAGGTCGGGAGTCGGGAGCCGCGGCCCCGGCAGAGCAGCGCTCGGGAGCCCCGAGAGAAGCAGGCGGGAGCGCGCGGCCGAGCCCAGGCGCGGGATGACAGCCCTCGGCGTGCAGGTGGGCGAGAGCCCGGTGCGGGGGGTGTGGAGTGGCCCGGCCGGGGTCCGGGGGGGGAAGCCGCCCAGGGCGCGGTCTCCTCGAGGTCCTGCGGGCACCGAGGCTCCTAAACGGCTGGGGAGGAGTGTTGTGCTTCTCTTTGGGGTCCGCAGTGTTCATCTGTTAGGTGCACCAGAGGGGTCCCTCCTGTTAAAAGGGGGCGCATCTGGAGCGAAGGATGGACGGAATCCACTCGTAAAAATGAGGCTCGCCTTGTCACACGAGGAAGAATCTCTGGGGAAGCCAGAACTTTCCTGGGCGGGGGCAGCAAGACCATCTCCCCTCCCAAAACTGATTTTGGGGGGCGGGCAAGGGGGTGGACTCGCTGGGGCACGCGGAAACCTCAGGACAGGCTGTAGAGAGGGGAGGGGCCCGCCTCGCAGAGATGGGGTTTCTCCGTAGAATGATACGAGGGGTCCATCCGCACCCCCACCCCCCGGGCGTGCGGCTCTCCGCTGCCCTGCGCCGAGCTTCCCTAGCGGACGCGTCCCGCCTCCTTACCTCCCGACTGGACGGTCGGGACGGTGAGAGCGGCCCGCAGCCTCTGCCTGCAAGCGCTCGGCGCCCCGCAGCGCAGATTCCGGGGCTGATCCCGCTGCGCGCACTTTGTAGATGCGGTGACCGAGGCTCAGGTGCAGTAACCCGCCCGTGGCGGCCGGCTCAGCGATAGAATCGAGTCGAACCAGACTTCTGGGCCCGAACAGGAGAAACTCCACCCACAGGCCGCGCCCCAAGCCCCTTGTGGCCGGGACACCGCAACCCTAGAGCCGGATGCAGCGAGTTCCTCTCGTTCTGGGCATAATCTGGGGTCCCGGCCAAGCCGCCTCCGGGACCGGCAGTGAGGAGGGTGGGAGCGGGTGCGGTCCCGCCTTCGGGAGCCGACGGCCCTGCGGGGGAGAGACGTGCACACCGGGATTTAGGAGTGATTTGGGGAAGCGAGTGCTAGATGAAGAGGTGAAGAAACTGCGGCAGGGTTAACGGGGGTGGGGAGGGCAGGAGAGCAGCCAGGTAAACAGACTTGACCTTTTAGTGAAAGAAGGGGGGCGGGGCTGATGCTTAGGAGCATTTAACCGCCTGCCTGGGACTGTTCTAAGCGGTTGGGGTGCTTAGGTCTCCTTTCGGCTCCCCCCGGGGGGCCAGGAGGCAGGTACTGTTATCTTCAGGGGGTAAATAGCTCGCCGGAGGCCAAAGAGCTAAAAGGCAAGCGTGCTGGCTCCCGGTGCCCTGCGGTCACGCAGGCGGAGCGGGCTTACTCTTTGGGAGGCTATAGAGGAGATTTCCAGCTGAAGAGGGGGTGGGTCTGACCTGGGCCTGGGCTGAGTGGACACTGGGAAGGGGGGCGGGGGGGGGGGGAAGCGCAGGGGCGCGGGGCGGGGGCTTCATGTGGAGAAAAGTAGTGAGCAACCCAAAGTGTCCACTACTTAGGGGTTGACGGGATCAGATGGGGTGCTGGGTTCCAGAGGAAGACAAGACCTTGGCATTGGCCTCAGTGGCCCAGGAGTGCCAAGTGACACTGTTCTACAGGTCACTACTAATCATTCGGGGCTCTGGATGAAAAAGGGAAATGCTTCCATTTTTCTTTTTTTTCAGTGGAGATGGTCCAGGCCGTAAGAGATTTAAGTGATTTGCCCAAGGTCACAGAGCTAGAGGCTGGTGGGTCAGGGGCAAGGCTAGACTGCCCTCATACCCTCTGGTCCACGGACCTTCCACTGACCACGCTGCTGCCCAGCTGCCCTCCGGGAGAGGATTTCAGGCCCTGCATCACTGGAAGTTCACAGAGGTGCTGGCAGCCGGGGTGTGGGGCAGTGGTGAGGAAGGAGGACTGCCGAGTTACCTTATTACTGTTACTAATATTAATCAGGAACTGCTTCTGTGCTGGGCACCTTTATATACATGATCTCACTTAATCCTTGGGAGTTTTACTGGTGTCAGAGTTTGAATGATGCCCTCCTCTGGGGCGGGAGGGGGAAAATGACCTGATGTCAGCTGTCTTTTCCTGATCCCAGTGTGATGTCTCAGGGCCTGGAGATTAAAGTTCACTCCGTGTGCAGGACAGGTGGGGCTGAGGGTAGGACGGCATGTGCTTTTTCTCCAGACAGCGTGATGTCTGAGGTCAAAAGGCCTCTGGGTGCTGCGTTCTTGTGACTTGTTGCCTGCGTCTGGGGTTTTCCCATCCTAGAAACTTATCAACCTGTAGGGAGTTATAACCTCCGGGTGCCTTCATGGCTACTCTTTCCTGCAGGGATCACGAACTCCTGCTACAAAATGTAAGTACGGAACGGTAGATGAGAAAATAAGGGTCAAGGAGGTTAAGAAACCTCGCAAAGACAAACACCTGTATGGTTTGTAGGCACAGAGATTTCCAAGTTCCCTTGGTTTGTTTCTTAGTAGAGCCGTTCTTTCCTAATGAAATCCAGTACAGACTCTTAGATTCCCAGCGGCTCCAGCAGGTAAGAGGGACCTGCTGTGGTTGAAGTGAGGGGCCGGGAGCTGAGCCCCTGCCCCCTGCTTTAGCACCTGGAGGCCTCAGGAGACAAGGGGATGCGGTTTGAGAACCAGAGCCCGGACTCCCCGCCTGAGTGTTCTTTACAGCGCCCCCGACTGCCTTTGCCTCTGGTCTGAGTCGGGTCCCGAGCCCTTGGGCGTCCCTCTGGCCACTCCAGCCCTTCTCACCACGTACTGAGCCCCTCCCACGAAGGCCCCAGTGGGTACTCACCGGCTGTGTGCATCCCCCCCACTACGCATGATACAGTTGTCGGGCAGCTGTGCCAGGCTGTACTGTGATCTCGGTGAATGCTCTTGGGCTGGTCCCCTGACCCGTGTGTGACACTTTCCCTTTTTACATACCCCGCCCCGTCCCCCCCCCCCCCCCGCCCCCCGCCGTGGAGCACCCTCCTCCACAGACTCAGGTTTAAGAGTGAGACAGGACCCTAACTAGGCAGAAGCGCTGAAAGCCAGCCGGATCCATAAGGGTCCCGGGGCCTCCCGGGAGCTGGCTCTGCTTTCTGCCCCTCACCGAGAGGGGTGGCCCAGACCGCCTCTGGAAGCCTCCGCTTGCACGTGGCATAGGGCTCACCCCCAGAGTCCCCTTTCGGTTTGCTTCCCAGCAGTGACCGTCACGCATGAGCTGTGTGCTTTGCTTACCTCCCAAACTGGGGCGTGACCTGGGCTGCTTCCACACACACTGTAAAGGGCGTAAGTTATGACTGGGCAGGAGATGGTTTAAAGGGAGCTTCAGACGGAAGTGACAGCGGCTGCAAACTCGACCTCGTGGCTCTTGAGCACGGCACTGGCACCGGGTGCTGGGGCCACGGTCCTGCCCTCCCACGATGAATCAGACAGGAATGGAAAACTTGTCAGAACGGTTCCTGACAGAGAGTGACCGGAGGGGTCCGTTCTGGGTTGAGTGGGCAAGACAGACCTCTCCCAGGAGGCGATGTTTCAGCTGAGACATGAAGAATGGAGAAAGGGGGGCAGCCGGGAGAAGAGCCTTTCAGGTGGAGGGACCAGTAGGTGTGAGGAGGAAAGTTCTAGGCTTGTCCTAGGCATGCGAGGTGGCCGGGAGGATGCCCTGGGAGGGCTTGTGGGCCGTCTAAGGAGTTTTACCCTTTGAAGCATTCCTTTTGCTTCCGGGTTGGGGGTTGGGGACGGTGGCTTGGGGGTGTCCCGGGGCTGTGAGAAGGGACACCTCACTGGACGCTTGGCCCAGCTTGTCAGGAGAGAGGATAGGGTGTACTTTTGTGGGGCCGAAACCATAGGCTGAAGGGGAGCCTCAGGGACTCCCCCGCCCAGAAGCTTCTAGAACAGACAGTGGTGCCGTGTCCTGGGCGGAGTACAGGCTGAGCCAGACTGAAGGGCAAAGTGCAAACATCACTGCGCACTGAAGAAAAGTGCAGGAAAAGCTGGGTGCAGATTAGAATGAAACTGGGGAAGACCAGGGGCCAGAAGAGGGAGCTGTGTAACCTTCACTGATGTGCTAATAATGTCTAGTGCAGCATTCTTGTTTTGCATACAAAGAAACCAAGGCTGGCTGCTAGCTCAAGGTCACGTCTGCCAAGCCAGACAGGTTTGCTGACTTCAGAATGGACCAAGATTTATCTGTCAATACAATTTGGGTTTCTTACGCATTATAAAGATCATTAAAGAAAGGTCAGGGAACTCTTTGCCCGATGAATAACTGGATCCACAGGCAACGCTTATAGGTCTCGAATGGAGGACGGATGGGGGAACAGGTAGGATGGGAGGAGGGTCCCCCCGCCCCACCAGGAGGTGGGTCTGTGCTGTGACTAAGGTGGGCATCCTGGGAGACCGAAGCAGAAACCGTGGCTGTCGGAAGCTACAAGGTGTGCTCTTGGTCTTCCCTGAGGAGGCTGGTGGGCTGTGGCGGGGGCCCTCCCTCATGCTGCCCCGTGCTGTCTTCCAGGCCCAGAAGCTGCTGGCCCAAAGGAGGCCCCGCCGGTCCTTCTTTGAACCCTCCATCCGGGCCCTCATCATCTTGTGTGCCTCCCTGGCCGTGGTCCTCTCCTCCCTCTCCATCTGTGATGGCCACTGGCTCCTGGCCGACGACCGTCTGTTCGGGCTGTGGCACTTCTGCACCACCTCCAACCAGGCTGAGCTGCACTGCCTCCGAGACCTGAGGCAGGCCCACGTGCCCGGGCTAGCCTCGGGCATGGCTGTGGCCCGCAGCGTGGCCACCTTGGCCGTGGTGGTCGCCATCTTTGGCCTGGAGCTCCTCATGGTGTCCCAGGTGTCCGAGGACGCCCACTCGTGGCACAAGTGGGCCGTGGGCTCCGCCCTCTTCCTCCTCGCCTCCATCCTCTCCTTCGGGGGCCTCCTGAGCTTCCTGACCCTCCTTAGGAACGAGGTCACGCTCATGGGCCTCAGCCTGACGTTCTGGAGCGAATTCACGGCCTCCTTCCTCTTCTTCCTGAACGGCATCAGCGGCCTCCACATCAACAGTATCAGCCGGACTGACAGCGTCACGTACCCCTGGGGCCTGCCTGCAAAATTTTAGGCCCCCCCAGCGAGGGCGCTGAGTTCTACCAGAAAGTGTGGTCAAGATGGGACTTCTCCAACATGTGACATTCGAACTGCCGCCTCTTGGCCGTGGGGTGGTCGGGCCAGTGGCCTTTGCAGCCTAGAGGCCAGGTGGGCGCCTCCGAGCCACCAGCTGCACCAGCTTAGCCACGTTATTAGGATGTTGACTTCACAAGAAGAAACATATTCTGAAACCCATTCTTGAGTCCTTCCTGGGATGGGAGTAGATGTGGAAGCAGCTCAGGTAACCGGTGCTCAGGCTGGCCGCACAGCCAAGTACATTTCACACCTGTTTTAGTGACTCTGCTGGGATATGGGCTGCAGGGCCCCCGGGGCCTCCGGGCTTGCTAAGAGTGAACCGTCTGTCAGCGAAGGGTGTCCAGTCAGTGCCGAGGACTTGCTTCACCAGCTCAAAGGGCCTCGTGCAGGTTCCCTGCTTTAGCTTCGGTCGCGTCAGGGAGGCAGCGTTCAGGGCTGCTGGGGTGCAGAAGCTTTTCAAACCGTTTGACTTTATTTGAGCCCTGCCCTCTGTCGGGGGGACCCCGTGATCCCTGGTAACCCCAGCTTCCAGCAGCTGGCCGTGCCTCGGGACTCTCCCTGTCAATCCCGCCTGAAGCCCTTCCAGGAGGGCCCGCCTGGCTTGGTAAGCGTGGGCAATCCACCTTTGGTAAGGGCCCGACAGCCTCAGGGTGCCATTTTTATCCTAGAGCACACTTCAAAGAGCACGTGTCTGGAGCTGCTGGACTCCAGGGGGGTACTGGGGACTGGCCCGACCTCAGGTAATGATTAACAACCACCCTGGATGCAGAGGCCTGCAGGTGGAGGGGACCAGGAACCGGTGGAGATTTCCACCCTTGCTGGTCACTTTACATTTCTGTGCACCAAACTGGCCTCTTTCCAGTCCCTTTTCTGCCCAGTAGGTGGGTTTTTTGCCCTCAGCCCATTTCATTCAACACTAGCCCCGTGCCCCTCCCCCACCTGATGAATTCAGGCCTTTCCTGGTTCCTTCTGGCTGCCACTGATTGCATGGGGTTTTGGTCTCTGCCCTGCCAGGTCCTCTTTCTGGGCTGGACTGGGTGCCTCTACCTCTCCTGTGATTTTTTTTTTTTTAACTTTTTGATTCCAAGATGTACAGAGTCCATGAAGGTCCCTGGAGAGCGCCCTGGAAAATGGATATCTGGCCTTCTCACCCCAGTAGCAGACTATAAGATGCAAAGGGGGTGACCTTGTCTTCAGGGGTGAGATGCAGAAGTTGGGGGCCAGGGCCACTTGTCCAGGGTCACCTAAAGCCAGAACTAGAGCTGGGCCCACCTACCAGCAAGATGCCCTCTTCTCTAGCCGCGGGGAGGGTCGCCTCTGCTTCTGTCAAGAATACTCTCCCCCTTGGGCTTCCCTGGTGGCGCAGTGGTTGGGGGTCCGCCTGCCGATGCAGGGGACACGGGTTCGTGCCCCGGTCCGGGAGGATCCCACGTGCCACGGAACGGCTGGGCGCGTGAGCCGTGGCCGCTGGCATCCGGAGCCTGTGCTCCACGACGGGAGAGGCCACAACAGTGAGAGGCCCGTGTACCGCAAAAAAAAAAAAAAAAAAAAAAGAATACTTTCCCCTGAGCACGCAGGCTTTGTTTTGTAAAAGGGTTCAAACATTTAGTCCTTTAACCCTCACATGGCTGCTAATAATTGAGGGAACTGAGATTCAGAGTAAAGGGTGAGACTTAAAATCCCCAGTGGGGCGGGGAGACAGGGCCCTGTCCGCCCTTGCCCAGGAGCAGGGGAGACAGACAGCCGTGGAGCCTGGGGATTTGAAACCAGAAGCCCTGGACCGAGCTGCCACTTCCCTGCTGAGTATCTTGGTCAAGTCACTGGTGAACCAGTTTCTCTTCTGTCAAATGGGATTCTGCCCCATTTCCTGCTGTACTGCAGATAACTTAGCTGAAAGCAGGAAGAACAGGTGCCTCATCCCATGCTAGGGCGACTGAAAGGGCTGGGGCTCTCCTGGGCTCCTTGTGACCTGGTTGTCAGAAAGCTCTGGGGGAAGAGCTACTGGGTGGGTGAGTTGCAGTGAGGGGTGGGGAGGGTCCACCTAGGGCCAAGGGCCTCAATTTCTGCTAAGCTTGTCCCTGAAAACTGGAGCAGGGGGATCACGGAAGCCCCGTCCTCCAGGAAGTGGCGGGGGACAGCATCCTTCACCTTGAGGCTCAAGGGCAACAGGGCTGACAAATACCAAGTCTCATCCCAGTTACCGTTTATTCCCCTGCCCCCTCCTGGGACCCCTGAAGTCTTCCCAGAAAACTCAACAGACCCAAATCCCAGGCCCTCTTCCTGCCCCAGGCCCGGAGGAGGGGTGTTAAGAGTCGCAGGAGCGATCACACGGCATCTGGCAGGAAGATGGGCAGCAGTCGGCCCTCAGGACCCATCTTGGCCTGTCTGGGTGGCCCTGCTCCAGCCTCAGATGACACTGGTCCTGCAGGTACCCCGGCTCTGCTCCGAGGGGCTGGCCTTGGTGCCGCTGCTGAAGGAGCCGAGGGCAACCGGGTGCAGTGGGAGCTCACGCAGGTGCCACTGCCGCCACTTCTTCTGAACCTCCAGCTGTACCTGCCCCCAGAGACCAGCTGTCACCCGGAGGGAAAGATGACCCTTGCCCAGGGTCCTGCTCCCCTGGGGCCTCGTTCGGGCTCTGCCACGTCTGCCCAGCGGGCACGCCTCCCCCTCCTGCAGGCCGCTCATAGATTTACCATCTCGACTCCCATTCAAGTGGGGCAACACCGCATCTAAGTAACGTCAACTGCGCAGCCTCTGTGCCAGGAGCCTCACGTCCCGGCAGTGCTCTGGGCAGGGCGGAGACCTCAAGCTAAGGGCGCAGCCCCCCGCCCTGCCAGGAGTCACACTCTTTGGAGGTCTCAGAGGACGGAGCAGCAAACATTTCACCTGAGTCACTCATTTTACAGGTGAGAGGCCTGAGGCCCAGAGCAGGGCAGTGACCGGCGTCACCCATCGAGCAAGCTGACAGTCATCAGCCTCGGTTAGGGCTGGGGCGCCTGCACTTGCCCCCATTTCCTGAACGTGCCCAAGGATAAGAATCACCTGGAGTGCTAGTTAAGACGTTCTCAGCCTCCAGCCCGGACTGCCGGGACCTATTTTTGCTGGTTTAGAAACAGGGTAGGAACCAGCAGTTGTTTTAACAAGGCCTGCAGGCGATCCTGGGGCCCCCAGGAGGTGATCCCAGACTCCCGGAAGACAGGCCCAAGCCAGGAGGGCCCGGCCTCCCCCACCAACGCCACACCCCACTCCCCACCACCCCTTCCAGGTACGGCTGTGAGGGAGCTCCCCTGCACCCGGGCAGCCCAGGACACTCACCTCCCCATTGAGGAAGCAGTAGAGAACGGCCACCACCAGGCCCTGCGGAAGAAGCAGGGCAACGGGATGAGTGCGGTCCCAGCACCCAGCCTTCTACCCGCCTGGGGTCCTCTCATCACCAGCCCCAAGCTCACTGCTCCCCACAGCTGTTGCAGAGCCTCCCCGCGCCTCTCCCCCTCCAGGGGAAGTGGAGGCTTCTTCTTCCGGCCCTCAGTGCCCCTAGCTGTGCTGGCATCACCCACAGACTGACACCCTTGGGGGCAAGGACCGCCCCCGTGTCCAGGGAGGGCCCCTGCACCAGGGTGGTGTCAGTTACATCAAGCGCAGGCCACAGGGACCAGGCAGGTCACCGGAATCAGTGAGGCGGGCCATCTGGGAGAGGCAGGAGCAATGGCACCCGAGCGATGCCCATCCGCCCGAGCTCAGCGGGTGGGGCAGCCCATGGGAGCCCCTGGGCCTGGGTGGGCTCATCTGCAAGACAGCTGGAAATCTGGAGAGATGTAAACAGGGCCAGCTAATCAAGTTGAAAGACAAATGTGTAGCCATGTGGTCAGAACAGCCGGCGTGCAGGTCGCAGGCAGGTACCGGCCAGACAACAGTGGGGCATGATCCCCCCTCGTGTCCAGGTCAGAGGCCTCAGGGCTACGTATGCTTTAGGTTCCCTGGGATGGTGGGGGTCTGTGCCTACCAGGACCCTCCCTCCCTAGCATCCGGAGCTCCTCTCTTCCCAGTGGTACCCCCGGAATCCTGGCGTGGAGCCTGCCAGGCAGGGCTGCGGGATGAGATGCAGGATCTGAGCCGAAGAGGTTTGCGTGGAACCGTGAGCTATGAGCAGGGTCTCGCAGTCCGGATGCCCTGCTCACCTCAGGGCCCTCCGAGGGCCAGCCTGTCCTTCCTAACAAGCCCCTGCCCTCAGGCTCCCCACAGAGGCCTGGGTGCCACAGCCCCTCCCCCCAGTGCCAGCCAGGCCTGCCCCTAGCTACTTAGGACATGGACAGGACCCCAGAGAGGGATGAACCAGCCTGTTTATGGTGGGCTTCCTCCACACGACTGCTCAGGAGTCCTGGTGGTTTTTTGTTTTGTTTTTTAATTTATTTAGTTTTTTTAAATTTTTGGCAGCATTGGATCTTCGTTGCGGTGCACGGGCTTCTCATTGCTGTCGCTTCTCTTGTTGCGGAGCATGGGCTCTAGGCACACGGGCTTCAGTAGTTGTGGCACTCGGGCTCAGTAGTTGTGGCGCACGGGCTTAGTTGCTCCGCAGCACGTGGGATCTTCCCGGACCAGGGCTCATACCCGTGTCTCCTACATTGGCAGGTGGATTCTTAACCACTGCGCCACCACAGAAGCCCAGTCCTGACGTTTTAACAAGAGTTACAAACTAGAAGGATCTGCTCTAAGAGTCTCAGGTGTGGTTGATGCCACATGGAATGGGGACCACGGGAGTGGGGCAGGAACACGGACTCAAGGTAGCGGTTTTCACGTTTTGCCACACGTTAGAATCACCTGGGAGCTCTGGCCCAGGGTGCACTCTGTGCCCCAACTCCAAATGTCTGGGGTGAGACCATCAGCAGCTCTGAAAGATGGTTCAAAGGGGCACCATTGATTAGGAGTCGCTGTCAGAAGGTGTGAAAGTCGGGCTTTGAAATAAACGAGAGCTGGGTTTGGGGCGCAGCTTAGCCTGTGTAATTTTGGGCTTCTGTTTTCCAGGTGCTTCATTCAATCCTTGCAGAGCCCTAGGATGTGGGTGGGGAGGACCCCTTCTTCACAGGTGAGGGACTGAGTCCCGGGTCGGCAGGCCGGGAGCTGGTGGTCAGGCTGCTGCCACCTCACTGGACCAGGGCTGCCCCAGCCTCAAAGGTCCAGAGACACAGTCTCACTGTTGAGGTGGGGGCAGCCCTGGGTGAGGGCTGGTTAGACGTGCCCCAGGTATGCAGAGGGCAGCCTGCCTCAGCCAGCAAGCTTCAGAAATTCCACGGTTTGTATACAATCATTAAGAATATGCAGTCTTGGACTTGCCTGACTCTGCAACAAGAGAAGCCATAGCAATAAGCCTGTGCACCGCAACGAAGAGTAGCCCCCGCTCACCGCAACTAGAGGAAGCCCGTGAGCAGCAACAAAGACCCAACGCAGCCAAAAATAAATTAAAAAAATACTAATAAAGAATATGCAGTCTTTGAAGAATTTTAATGACCTGGAGAAATGTTCATGATGGAATGATAAAGAATTAAACAGAACAAGGAGGATATAAAACCACACGTCCCGATCTCAATTTTGTGTGTGTACATGTGTGTGTACGTGTGTGTGTCTTCTTGGATAGAAAAGAGACAGAAGTAAACACACTGACATTTTAACAGAGGTCATTATATCGGGTCATGAGATTATGGATGGATTTTCCTTTTTCTTTTCCTTATTTTCCAAATTTTCCTCAATAAGCAAGTATTTCTACAATTAGGAGGAGCTAGTAAACTTTCGTTTTAGAAATATATGACAGTGATCATGGCATTATGGTTCTGTGTGTGTTCTTTAAGCTCTCGTCTTTTAGAAATACATGCTAAAATATTTACATTTGAAATACAACGATGGTTTGGGGTTGCTTAAAATGATGAGGGTGGGTGGCGGTAGAGGTGAAACAGGACAGGCCATGAAAGGGTAAGGGCCACACGGAGGTTCATTATATCGTCCACTTCACTTTTGTATTATGGAAAATTTTTTCCATAATACAAAATTTAAAAAATATGCATACAGTATAAATGTATAATATATAATAAAGTGATATCTGTTTGTATTTGAACAGTGGTTCTTTTTTTTGAAAGAAGTCTTAAAGATCCTTTTTCTCTGTAAACATTTCTATGGGAACATTTAGGAAGGCGCTTTGGTTTCCTCTTAACAAGCATTTCCCCAGAGAGGAGGCGAACGGCCTTCACGAGCAGTCTGCAGCCCCAGCCGCAAGCCCAGCTCCAGAGACAGAAGGTCCCCTTCCACACAGGATGACACCTGGGTCTCCAGGTCCTCAGCGGGGTCACTACCCACTTCTGTTGACCGGGTCATGACCTTCCACCCATCTGGACCTGGACCCCCCCACCTGCTAAAGGGGCCACGGTGAGCCCAGCCTCCCACACGTTACGTGGAAGCTTCCTAGCCCAGAGGAAAAGATCACGGATTACACAGGAGACTAGGTGCTCTGTGGGTCTGGGGGACTGGCCGGGGTCTCTGGGCGGAGAAGAGGCTCTGAGGGAGTGAAGGGGACAGCCCTGGGGGGGGGGGGGGGGTCTGAAGGCACGGCTTAGGGCCAGACCCCACTCAGGAACATGCTCCCAGTGACGCGTCCTCCCTGGAACAGGAGCGTGACAGGAGGACCACCCTGGGCACACCCATCCTGAACAGAACTCCGGGAATGAGGGCGGCCACGGCCTGCCCAGGTGAGGAAGACTGTGGGATGGTCAGTGTTGTTGAGGACAGGCTGGCTCCTTCCGGAAAACCCACTGGGAGAGAGTTCTCTCAGGCCTCTCCCTAGGGACTAGCCTGTTTTCATCTAAATCTTGAAACAGAGCGTGTTTCTGTCTTTGCTTTGGCTACTGGGAAGCTCCAAACCAAAATTACGACACACCTCTGCCACCTTCAGAAAATTTCATCAAATTTGTTTCTGGGTATGAACTCAGTTTTGGCTTTATTTTCTTTATTCGCTGATCCAATCTACTTATTTTTTTGTCCTTTGTATGTTTTCCCTGAAAGCTACATCATATTATTTTTGGAAGGAGATAGTTATGAGTAAATAAACAAATAACACTGCGAAGTTTGGGATTCATGTTAAAAGCCCCTTCTGTCCAAACAGGTTTACTATATTTTTTAACTCTACGACGTCTTGTTGAATTAGAAGGTAGGTGGTTTCTCCCCTCCCTTTGTTTTCTTTTTAAAGTTGGCTTTTATTTTTAGTAAATTGTGTATGTAATTGGTTTCAAAGAGTCAAATGTCTCTTGTCACAAAAAAAAGAAAGGAAAAAACAGTAAGCTCCTGACACCCCTGCCCCCATTTCCTGTTCCTCAGAGGCAACGCCTTGGAACTCTCTTGACTGATTCTCAATCATATGCTGATGTTGCTACTTCTGAATTTTTCCGCTTGGGGCGGTTTCTGTGGACTTCCCAGTGTGGAGATGAGGCTATCATTCTTTCGCACAGCCTTCCACCTCCCGCCCACGCCCCCACTACGCTCGTCTTCCTGTCCTACTGCTTGATGGCTGAGCCCCAGCCCCCTGCGGTTACATTATTTTGACTCTAGTTACTGAGACTCGTGTGATCCTGTGTGCTGGCTTATGTTCCCTTTGTCTTCCCTGGAGTCAGTCTCTCTCTCCTTACTTGCATCTCCCACCCTCACGTGACTGGTGGGGAACTTGGGTCCCACTGAGGGTCACGCAGCACAGTGAGGTCCTGCCCCTGCGTCTCTTGGGTCTCTGCCAAACGAGGCATCCCTCTGCCTCTGGGAAGATCTGGCTTTCGGCCTCTCCATTTTTCTCTCAGGAGAGAGAGAACACCTCTTCCCACCGTAAAGTCACAGTCTGGAGCTTACCTGGAATGAGCCAAGGGCCAATTCAAAGAACAGCTGCGTCTCCATGGCATCCTCCGGGGAGAAGGCAAAGATTATGTAGTGGACTCCAAAGAGGGGGACCAGCAGGAGGGTGGACTTGGCCAGGCGCCTGAGGACACAGAGGCGCTGTAGTCTCAGGCCCCTCCACACCCAGGGGCCTCCCTTCTCGCCTGACCGCAGGAGGCTTTGCAGCAGCGTCCCACCTGCTTGTTTGTTTTCACTTCCGTTTCGGAAAGTCCCAACTCCAACGTACCCGTCACCCGGATTCAATACTCATCAGTCCACGGACAGTCCCCAAATTTCTGTTCATGCACCCTATCAGCAAAACGCTTTGAACCCATACCCACGTGAATAACTTTATTGATTTATACCATATCTGCATGTATTACTATCACTCTGTGTCTAATATATTATTAGCAAAACCAGCATTTTCATTTGTTTGATAATAAATATCTGTAAGGAGAAGCTCTTTTGTTTTCTCCCCAGGTTAGGGTTGCCAAATTTAGCAAACAAAAATACAGGATACGCAGTTCAATTTGAATTTCAGATAAACAATGGGTAGTGTTTTTTTTGGTGTAAGTACTAAAAAATTGTTGTTTATCCAAAATTCAAATTAAACTGGGCATCCTGTATTTTATCTGGCAACTCTGTCCTGGATCCCCAGCTGCCCCCTACTTTGGAGCCACTATTCTAGTGACATCCTGGGGAATCTGTCATCCAGTAATCCAGGCCTCTGCCAGATTCTCAAAACTCAGACCATGACAGAGAAAGCCTCTGTTGGACACTGATTTGTCTTCAACACTTCTCATGGGCTGAACTGTGTTCCCCCAGAATTTTAAGTTGAAGCTCTAAGCCCTAGTACCTCAGAATGTGACTGTACTTGCAGACAGGGACCAGTTTAAATGAGACCATCAGGGTGGGACCATAGTCCAGCCAACTGGTGTCCTTGTAAGAAGAGACACCAGGGATGCAGGTGCACAGAGAAAAGGCCACGTGAGGACCCAGCGAGGAGATGGCCGTTTCCAAGCCAAGGAGACAGACCTCAGGAGAAACCAAACCTGCCAACACCTTGATCCTGGACTTCCAGCCTCCAGAACTGTGAGTAAATAAACTTCTCTTATTTAAGCCAGCCAATCTGTGGTATCTTATTGTGGCAGGCTGTGCAGACTAACACAACATCTTTCTTGAACATCTTAAAGGTTTTAAAGTATTTTTGGATCACATTATCTTGAAAATCTGCTGAAAGCTAAGGTCTGGTGAAAGCTACGGTCTAGCGAAAAGCTGGAAAATACAGTCCACCCTCGGCATCCACGGGGATTGGTTCCAGACACTCCGCAGACACCAAAATCCTTGGATGCTCAAGTCGTTTATATAAAATGGGGTAGTATTTGCATATAACCTACGCACATTTCCCCATGTATTTAAGTCATCTTTAGATTACGTATAATACCTCCTACAATGAAAATGTTTTGATTGGGAATTTTTTTTCCCAAATATTTTCGATCTGCAATCCAAGGTTGGCTGAATCCTCAGATGCAAAACCCACAGACAAGGAGGGCCACTGTCCCTGTAAAGATTTGAATTTGGGTCCCCGAAGCCCACTCTCTGACTCCCTAGCCTTGTCCCAAGGGTAAGATCTCTGCCTCCCGGGATCCTGCTTAGATTTCTTTTCTCCCCACCCCTGGGGCCGGGTCTCAGGGTCACATGGACCCATTCTCCCTTCCCCTGGTCCACTGTAAACTTCCAGGTCCCGGCTTTTCCTTTTCCTCCACCTCCACCAGTGCCCAGCACCAGCTGGGTAAACAGTAGGTGCTCGGTAAATGCCTGCTGACTGAGCGAGCGTGCCTAGGTCTTTGCCCTCCACTTACTTATAATGGTTCCCTTCACTTCCTCTTGTTTCTTGAGTTCTAAGTTTTCTCATCAGGATCCTTAGGATGTTTATAAAAAGGATGAAATTAATCTGTAAAACACAAGGCAGAGGTGGGGCTAAAGGTGATTTGCTTTCCCAGCACCTCTCCAGGCCCTGACCCCTGTCCCTGGCCCCTGGGCAGGGAAGGCACTGCAGACCACACCAGGACAGCTCATCACTCCCTCCGCCACCCCCAGTCCTGGTGAAACACACTGTCTAGGCAGAGATGGCTGCCACAGCACCGCCTCCCGCCCCTGGGATTCCGGAGCTCTGAGGTCTGCTCAGTTGCAGCATGGATTACTCACACTTGGAATGCATTGGAATCTTGTTAAACGGCAGACCTGGAGTAGGCCTGAGATTCTGCATCTCTAGCAAGCTCCAGGGAATGAATGCCAAAGCTGGTCCTTGGACTACGCTTTGAGTAGCAAAGGCTTTATAGCAGAGGTTCTCAAAGTTTAAGGTGCAGATTGCTGGGCTCCACCCCCAAGGTTATGGTTTAGTAAATGCAAATGAGATTTGCTTTTCTTTTCCTTTTTTTGGCCACACCACATGGCTTGCAGGATCTTAGTTCCCCAACCAAGCCCTCGGTAGTGAAAGCACGGAGTCCTAACCACTGGACCGCCAGGGAATTCCCAAGATTTGCATTTTTAACAAGCTCTCAGGTGAAGCTGCTGGTTTCGGGACCACACTTTGAGAAGCACTGCTTCGGAGACTTACAGAATCTCTGCAGGTCAATCACCAGCTCCAGGAAGCCTTCTTGATCACCTCCTTTTCCTGATTCACTGTAGTTAGGGATGATGCTACTTGTAAGAGCACTTGGAATACTTGAAAGGGGCCAAATGCAAGCATCTGGGTGTGTCCACTAATCACCAAGTGAATCCTAACTTTCTAAAGGACAGGAACGGAGTCTATTTCTTTTGCTGTCCCCTTCCCCAACTCCAGTGCCCAGTGCCAGCAACACTATGAAGTTGCCCATGCGTCGGCCCCTCTCCTCCCCTCCCCCACCAGCTCTAGAATCATTTTGCAGAAGCAGGATCAGTGGAGCTGACTGGCTGGGCCCCCTCATTGTTCAGACAAGTAGCCTGGGGCCTGGGGACGCTGGCCAGAAGACACTGGATTAGTGGCCAGTCTGGAACCCCAGCCCAGCGCCCCTGCTTCAGGACACTTCTCAGCTCGCTGTTGGTGCATGTTGCTCTAAGCCGTGCGTGGTGTAAACTAACAAAGGCTCTTTTACCTTATTTCATTTTTTGCCTTTGAATTGTATTTAATTTAATAGGGAGAACTTGAAAGCAAGAGGGAAAATCTTAACTATCCCAAGGATGAGTCTTAAATAGTGGAATTCTAGGCCCCGTGGCAGGCTGGCAGGGAGAAACTTTGCATCAGGAGTGCCCACCCAACCTCCGTCAGTCACTAGAGAGACTAGTCTTGTGAAAGCAGCCTGGGCCCTGGGGCTCTCGCGGGCTGGGCTGTCCAAGCCCCACAATTGCAGCAGGGAAACTGGCTCAGTGTTATGCAGCTACAGCACATCAGCTGGTCAAATAATTTCAAATGACGTGGGAAAGATTACATCTATTGCTAAGTGAAAAGAACAAACTGGGACACAAAACTACACTGAGCATTTTTGAAAAAGTACATGTGCTCAAAGAAAAAAATAGGAAGGAAAAGCACATGATCACAATGTGCATCTAGGTACTAAAAATATGGGTGATTTTATCCCCTTTTTAAAAATATATTTTGTATTTTCCAATTTTTTTTTTTTTTTTTTTTTTTTTTGTGGTACACGGGCCTCTCACTGATGTGGCCTCTCCCGTTGCGGAGCACAGGCTCCGGACGCGCAGGCTCAGCGGCCATGGCTCACGGGCCCAGCCGCTCCGCGGCATGTGGGATCTTCCCGGAGTGGGTCACGAACCCGCGTCCCCTGCATCGGCAGGCGGACTCTCAATCACTGCGCCACCAGGGAAGCCCGTATTTTCCAATTTTTTACATGAATTCCATTATTTTTATTTTAGAAATGACAATATATTTTGATTTTACAGAAAAACAAGTACATTCTTATTAAAACATAGTGATAGAGTCAATATTTTCCCACCACATTATCAACCTAATAAAAAAGGCTCTGACATTATCTAAATGTGACAAGCTGACAAAAAACAACTTTTGGTAAATAATAGCAGATTTCATTATACTGTTTTCAGCCTATTGACTATAGTAGGAAATGAAAGCTTAATATCTTTCATTATCCCTTAAGCTTCAATTTAGTCAGATTATAAAACACTATGCTAAGGTTAGCAAATAAAAATGATAATCAAATTATTTGCTACCATAAAATGGCTTGGGGAGCAATGTCTTAGGGGAGCAAACATAAAGTCTTGTTTAAAGTACTAGACACTCCCTGTGCAGTACACTCTGCATTACTACCATATCAGACGCCCTCTTCCCTGAGTGGTTCCAGATTAATGAATGGCCCTCACACCTGCTAAGAAAAGCAGACATAGGAAGTCGTTATACTCTCCTGAGCTACTCAGTGGCCTAATGTGGCTGCTACTCGGATTTCTCTACAATTTCCAGCTCTCCTATTGCAAGTTGAGATGGTAGGTAGGATCAAATAAAATTCTATTATTTTTGGGAAAAAAAGAAGGTGGTCATGGATGGCCCCAGGAGGCGAGCCAGTCAGCCATCAGCAGAGGAGGGGGCTGCTGCCCTGTCCTGCCCTCCTGTGAGCCCAGGAGGGGCATGTTCTGTCACCTGGCTCTGCAGCCTTGGCATTCCTCTGAGCCTGTGCACATTACTTCCGGGAAGGGGCTGCCCCAGTGTGCCCCCCACCCGCTGTGTCTTTCTCGTTCTTATCCAGGCCCACAGGCTCAGCTAAGGGCCTCTGGATTGCAGAGCACAATCACCTGGTAACTGAAAACCAAGACGAGCCCCCAGGCCCCTCCCCAAGACAAGGAGACCCTGCATCTCTGCTATCACGGTTTTTAGAAAGCTCCCAGGTTGAGAGTCCAGTCAGGGTTGAGACCCCTGAGCTCCCCTGTCCACGAGTCCCTCCTGAATCTCTCCGCTGGGGCCACCCCTCCGGGCCTGTCCCCGTCACAGCACCACAGAGGCCCAAGACCAGTTTGGCACTTGGCTTTCCCCAGGTGCAACCCCCCTCCTGTAATCCCAGCTCAGTGAGTCTGCCCACTTTAACCAGAGAACACCAAGAAAAATGATCAGGCACCAATGTTCTGAACCAGTGGAGGGGGAATCTCAGGCCAGCCTGAGCCAGCCAGTTCGGGTAAGGAGCTCTGCTCGCCACACTGCAACTGCCACCGTGGACCAGGCGAAGGCGAGCTCTTGCTGCCTGCCTCATTGCCCTCCCATCCACTGGTCTCTAGGGGGCGGAGCTTCCAGACCCTCCTGCCACTGCCCAGCCCCCGGAAGGTCCGGTTTATCCCTCCGCACACCCAGAGGCAGCAATGCTGGCCTTGACCTGGCCCTCTGCCCTGCAAGCCGGTCCTGTTTTGGTCTCTCCCACTGGAGCCCAGCTCAGGGGGATGGCCACTTACCAGGACGGAGACGATCACAGGCCCTCGAATGACCCACCAGATGGATGCGTTGGCATTGATGTCCCAGCACCTAGGGAGGGACAGCCAGGCATCACAAGGAGTGGGGAGCTGGCTGACCAGAAGAGACTAGTTCTCTGACGTCCCCTTTGCGGGAAGGACCCACACTGAGGTCCTGACCCCAGAGGCTGCGTGCTCAGCACCCTGAGAAATGACTGTCCTCTGCTGCCCAGGAGCACTGCCGGGGCCAAGGGAGCATCTGGGGAGCAGAAGCGTGTGGACCTGAGATGGAAGATTCTGGACCCCAAAGCCAGCATGCTGTCAGAATGCATCGGGGAGCATGGTGGCCAGGCAGGTGACGTCAGGGAGTGAAGTGTCCGGGGGACTGACGTGTGACCTCGGCCCCAGGGCCATCAGGCACAGGGGCACTTGGCAACTGGAGAGCCTGTGCTTGGTCTAAGGAGGCCGCAACTCCATCCGCCTCCTTTTTGCCACAAGGGCCCATAGGAATGTTGATAGAACTTTCCATTTGTTCTAAAGAAGCTGAAAATCCACACTTTTTTTAAGGGAATTTATCCAATTAAAAGGATTATTTGGGGGGCTTCCCTGATGGCACAATGGGTAAGAATCCGCCTGCCAGTGCAGGGGACATGGGTTCGAGCCCTGGTCCGGGAAGACCCCACATGCCACAGAGCGACGAAGCCCGTGCGCCACAACTACTGAGCCTGCGCTCTAGAGCCCACGAGCCACAACTACTGAAGCCCGTGTGCCACAACTACTGAGCCGGCGTGCCTAGAGCCCATGCTCCGCAACAAGAGAAGCCACCGCAATGAGAAGCCCGCGCACCGCAACGAAAAGCAGCCCCCACTCGCCGCAACTAGAGAAAGCCCGCGTGCAGCAATGAAGACCCAAAGCAGCCAAAAATAAATAAATAAAATAGATACAACATTAAAGAAATAAAAAACGTTTAAAAAAAAGGATTATTTTGGACTGAATTGGACTGCAAGAAGGATTATTTTGGACTGAATTGGACTGCCTCGTCTGCCCTCGTCCACTCTCTGGCCTGGCTGTGTCATTACACTGATGACACACGGCCTCCCTCCCCCTCGGCCCAGCTGCTGCACCTCCTCCCGGGCTTCTTCCATGCTTTCCTTCCATGAGCCCGCTCCCAGGAACCCCCGGGCTTACCCTGTCCCTGAGCCCAAGTCTTTGGAGAACGAGACTAGAGCTCCTGGTGCCCGTCAGGGCTATAAGCCTGCTCTCCTGGGCCTGTGGGACTCACACACCCGTGTCAGAGGAGGGAGCTGCCAGGAGAGGAAGAGCTGGGCTGGTCCTTAGAGCAGCTGCCAGTGTTTCACAGCTCTCGTCGGGCACCTGACCCAACCGCAGAGTGGCTGGGCCGGCCCACCCCAGGAGGGCTGGGCACTCGGCAGCCTGCGCTGCAGAGAACTCGCCTGTGGCCCCAAGTGTGAGACACAGGCCTCTCCTAGGTAACAGCTCCAAAGGAGGGTCCGTCCTGCTGGAAGAGCTGGACAAGATAAAATATTCCCTCGTTACCTCTCTCTGTCCACCAGCTTACCCGACATCTTCCAGAAAGTGCCTGGTGACAGCCCACGAAGCAACAAAAATGGCTGGGGAACCTGAGGGTTAAAAATAAAGAGGAGGGGGCAGAAAGGAGAGGACTCAATTTTCAGCACCCTTATGAGAGACCGGACAGTCAGTGATTCCAGGCCAGGGAGCAAGCAGGTGCCAAGGGCTGGTTGCCATGGAAACCCCCTTGCCATCCCGTGTAAATGTGCAGCCTCGCGCGTCAAGGGTGCCAAGGAACCCCTGAGAACGGAGGCAGGATCAGACAGGTCCTGAAGGCCACTGGGGGGCAGGGGGCTCCTGGGAGCTTGGGCCAGATTCCGGAGGACCTCTGCGGGGGAGAAGGGAGGGGACCAGGGCCCCTGGGCAGGCCCATGGAGCTTGTGGAGGCCACTGGTGGAGCCCCTTTCTCAAACTGGGATGTTTGGGGGGGATACAAGGCCACAGGAGAACCTTTAGTTTTATTTGAATATTGGTTTGTAAAAAGCTTGGCCATTCAACTGGTAATGTAAGCTATCAATGTTATGTAAACAAAAATACATTTTGGACTAGAGAATTGTAAGTACACAGGAAATTTAAAGATAAAATACAAGAACACTTCCTGACTTCTGGCTGAACATGACAAATTGCACTTATACATTTATCACCGTTTCTCACTGAAGCCCCCCCAACACGAGAGTAAAGAAATAAAAAAGCTACAAGCTCATAAGCACAAAGAATGGGCAAGGAGGGTACAGTGCACGAGAGATGTCAGCACGCTTAGGAACATGGGAGCTGGCAGAGGAGCAGTAACCGATGTCCCAGAGCAGACAAAGCCGAAACACGAGCGCAGCATGGGGGCTGCTGCTGGGAAGGCGCCCGGGCCCGGTGGTGAGGGCACCGGGGACGCCAGCAGGCAGGAGAGAGGGTGGGGCCGGAAGACAGGAAGCACGTAACCACCCCAGGTGGCCAGCACCACCATTCTACAGCCAAAGAGTTCATCCCCGACAGAAGGGCATTCTCTGGAGAAACAGAGCCAAGGGGAATGGGGCTCTGGCCCAGCAGAGGGTGGGAGGGGTACTCAGCTGGGCACGGGGACCAAGAGAGGATCTACACCTGTGCTGCCACGTGTGGCCACTGAGCCCTTGATGTGTGGCTGCTCTCAGGTAAGCTGTGCTCAAAGTGCAAGACAGCAGATTTGGAGGATTTGCAGGAGTAAGGGACCGTAAAATATGCTATTATTGATTTTTTAAATTATACATTGAAATGTTAATATTTTGGTTATATTGGGTTAAACAAAATATACTACTGAAATTAATTTTACTAATAATGAAACTAATTAGTTTCTCTTTACTGTGCTTACTGTGGCTACTAGAAAATTTTAAGTTATATAAAATATAGCTCAGATTCTATTTTTAATGGATATGCCTGTCATCCGCTGACTGGTAAAAGCCCACCCCCAGGCTGCTCAGTTCTCAGACTTCTAACAGCCGAGATTGCACCCTTGCTCGAGCCCTCCAAACCCCACCCCAGGCAGGAGATGACAGGATTCTTCCCTGGAGGAACCAAACAGCCCCAGACAAAGGGCCTCTAGTAGCGGTGCTGAGGACCCACCCACACAGCGGCCACTTCCAGCCCAGTCTCCCTCGAGAGACATGTCCCCCCGCTCCCCTCCACACACACACAGAGGGCCTTCAGTCAACACCGAAAGTGACTCACTCTTAAATATGAACAGTCAAGGTCACCAGCATCTGAAGAAAGCTGATTGCATAAAAGGCAAGGACCAAAACAACCAGAGAAAAGGAACTCAGAGGAAACAGACCATACAGGCTGTACGAGGAACTTGAGCAAAACAATTCTAAGGAATATCATCAGCAAGATTAGAGGGACGACTACTTCTCCAAGACACAAACAGGATGCCGAAAACAGGGAGTATTCAGAGAATAAGGAAGAGGGCTTGGAAATTGAATATATGATGATCAAGATTTTTTAAATTACGTAGATGGGATGGACGATAAAGACCAGGAACTGCCCAGAAAGCAGAACACAAAGTGTGGAATAAAAAGTAAGAGGAAAGAAAAGAGAAAATTAGAAGCCAATTCCAGGACGTGCACCATCTGATTAAAAGTTTCAGAAAGAGAGGATTAAAAACCAGAGGGAAGGGCATGATCAAAGGGGCAGTGTAAGAACACTGTCCAGGAAATGAGGGCTGTGAGTTTCCAGAGGAAAGGACCACCACACGCCAGCCAGAGGGTAGAAACAGACTTGCATGGGGCACTCCCTATGATATTTCAAAACACAGGAGACGGAGAGAAGACCCTACAGATCCTACAGCTTACACAGAGGTGAGGAAAAAGGCTCGGGAAGCAGAATGACATGGCATGTCGCATAACACCAGACGCCAACACAGAAGGCCTTCAAAATTCTGGGGAAAACTAACTGGCAACCTAATTTCTATGCCCAGCAAAACTACAAATTGGGTGTGAAAGTTGAACAAAGATATGTTTAGATATGCAATGCAAAAAAATGTAGCTTCCAGACTTCCCTGGTGGTGCAGTGGTTGAGAATCTGCCTGCCAATGCAGGAGACATGGGTTCAAGCCCTGGTCTGGGAAGATCCCACATGCCACGGAGCAACTAAGCCCATGCGCCACAACTACTGAGCCCATGCGCCACAACTACTGAAGCCTGCACGCCTAGAGCCCATGCTCCACAACAAGAGAAGCCACTGCAAATGAGAAGCCCGTGCACCACAACGAAGAGTAGCTCCCGCTCGCCGCAACTAGAGAAAAGCCCGCGCGCAGCAACGAAGACCCAACGCAGCCAAAAAAACAAATGTAGCTTCCATGCACTCTTTGTTAAGACAGACACTGGAGGATGTGCTCCAACACGACTTGACAGTTACCCAAAGAGAGGCAGACAAGAAGTCAAGGAATAGAATTCTTGGAGGAAAATGAAGGAAATCTCAGCCTGAAGGTTAAGGGAGTTGAGCAATTCTAGAGAATGACCAGCCCAAATAGAGCAGGAGGGCAGAAGGCTCTTCTAGAAAGAACATGGGTGGGTGTATCACATTAAATAACATCCCCCCCAAAGGTTCATATCCCTAGAACCTCAGGATGTGACCTTTTCTGGAAATAGGGTCTTTGCAGGTGCTATTAGTTAAGACGAAGTCATACTTATAAGGACCTTAATCCAATATAACTGGCATCACTTTAAGAAGGCTGTGAGATACACACACAGAGGAGACATAGAGGGAAGAAGACCATGTAAAGATGGAGGGAGAGATTGGAGTGAGGCTCCTACAAGGCAAGGAAGGCCAAAGACCGCCAGCAGCCACCAGAAACAAGGGGAGAGGCATAGAGCATATTGTCCCTCAGAGCCCTCAGAAGGAAGCAGCCCTGCCAAGACCGGACTTTGAACTTCTGGCCTCCAGAACTGGGAGACAATAAATTTCTGTTGTTTTAAGACAAGTGGTAACTTGTTACAGCAGCCCTAGGACATTAATACAGCAGGAATAAACCAGACAGATAGGAACTAGTGGACTTCATGTTGTTGCATTTGATGATGGGGAACCAGCACTGGAGGGTTTTCCAGTTCTGCTGAGGATGTGGGAGAATCAGTGACAGCAACACAAAATGAGTCAATAAAAAATGACTCCATAAGTCTGGGATTAACACACACACACTACTAGACATAAAATAGGTAACCAACAAGGACCTACTGTGTAGAGCACAGGGAACTCTACTCAATATTATGTAATAACCTATACGGGAAAAGAATCTGAAAAAGAGTGGATATATGTATATGTATAACTGATCCACTCTGCTGTACACCTGAAACTAACATAACATTGTAGATCAACTATACTCCAAAATAAAATAAAAATTAAATTAAGAAATGACTCCATAAAATATAAAAACTTAAATATTGGAAGTAAAATCAATGTATACCAGTTGGCTCGGTAGTAAACAATATTTACATAGACATGATGACGTATACATTGAATACTGTGATTTAGCCCCAAACTGTGAAAGACTCTGACGGGAGGATAGAGGTGGCAGATGAAGAATTTTATACGCTTCCCTTTAATCACAAGGAGTCAACAAATAATGCCTCAGGACTTCCCTGGCGGTACAGTGGTTAAGAATCCACCTTCCAATGCAGGGGATGCGGGTTGGATCCCAAGTCTGGGAACTAAGATCCCACATGCGGAGGGCCAACTAAGCCTGTGCGCTCTAGAGCCTGCACGCCACGACAAAAAGACTCCGCGTGCTGCAGCGAAGATCCTGCGTGCCACAAGTCAGACACGACGCAGCCAAGTAAACAAATAAATACTTTTTAAAAAGTGGGCCAAGGGTGTGAATAGACGTTAGGAAAAAACAATGCCTCAGATGGACAAATCAAAACATAGTAGAATATTGTTTAGAAACATGAGAGCAGGTATCAAAAGGAGCAGCTCAAGAGCTGGAGGATGTTACATCTGGGTGGCAGGAGTGGGAGCCTCTTCAGGAGACTGCTTGCTTTTGTTTGCTTTTTCAGTTTAGACTCGTAGTTCTATTTAATTCTTTAAACCAAGTACACGTATGGCTTTGATAAAAAAAATTCTCTGCCTCAGTTTGGGTACTTTGGGCAAACGTGGATTCTGAGGGCCACCTGTTCATGACTATTTGTCTTACATCTTTAACAGTGAGTCAGTGGAACAGTCTGAAAAGCGGATAATGGTTGAAGTCGTGGTTCTCACCGTGGTCCCTGCAACAACAGTATCAGCATCACCTGGGACCTGGTTAGAAATGCAGAGTCTCAGGCTCCACCGCTGGCCCACTGGACTGAGACTGTGGGGCGGGGCCCAGGCAACCAGGTTGACGTGCCCTCTGCATGGTTCCAACGCAGCTCCAGCTGGAGCACCACCAGTCTGAGTTCCCTCAGTGAATGGGAGTTTGACGCAGCTCCTATAAAAGCCAGAGGTATCACTCTTTCCTGGGCACAGACTGACACCCCAGCCACCTTGAAAAAGTAAAAGCTTTGGATAAGTCATAAAAACTTCGAAAGCTTGTGCCTTCTGACTCAGGGGTCCCAATTCCAGGCTTCTCTATTGCACATGGAACAAGCTTTGCCCATAAAAGTGTTCCTCGCTGTGTTAGTTACCACAGTGAGAAATGAGAAACAACCTAGGCATCCAAAAGATAGGTATTTGGCTGCAGACATCCACACGGTGGTTAAAAATGTTTGCTGAAGATTTGAAAGAACACAGAGCATGCTTCTGTGTTCATGGAAAGAGGCACGATTCAAAATTCGACATACAGGATGACTGCAACCACGTGGGAAAAACTGGGAGTATAAAAAAAGTCTGGAAGGAAACCCTAGAAAACGTTCAACATTTTCTATGGGCCTATGGTAACTTTTTTTCCTACTTAAAATTTCTTTTTCTTTTTTTTGCAGAGTTTTATGGTGGCCACATACTCATTTCAGCAACCTATCTCTGGGGAGGGGGGTGAATGCAAACTGAGGCAGGGGCCGCCGCTTTTGCAAGACAAGAGCCTCTCGGAAACAGACAGCTTTAGATCTTCCTGAGTCCCTTCATGTCCCCTGGGGGTTGTGCAGGCAGAGAGGCACAGAGAGAAGGAGCCGCTGCTGTTTAATGTGCTGCTCTATCCCCACGGCCTGGCATATACTAGATGTTCAATAAATATCTGAGGAAGAGGGACTGCCCTGGTGACCCAGTGGCTAAGGCTCTGTGCTCCCAATGCAGGGGGGCTCGGGTTCCATCCCTGGTCAGGGAACTAAATCCCACATGCTGCAACTAAAGATCCCACGTGCTGCAACTAAAGATCCCACGTGCTACAACTAAGACCCAGCACGGCCAGATAAATAAACAAATATTTTAAAAATATACTTGAGTAAGAAAAGAAGGCTCTCATTATCTCACTTAAACCTCCTACAAACCCGTGATGGAGATATTATCACAATGCGCTTTTGTCTCCTTGCTAGACTACAAACCCCTGGAGCGATGGAACCATCTTTGGTTTTGTTTTTGTAATCTCCATAAGCCCTTCTGAGGACAAAGAAGTGCTCAAAGAAAGTTCAGCAAATTATGATCCTGATATTATAGAAGATGAAACTGTCCGCGTTCATACAGGGAAATCCTGGCAGATCTGGGAGTCAAGGCTCAGTGAGGTGGCTAGACACTGGGGGCATCTGGGGCAGAGTTAGCAGCATAAGGCAAGTCCCTTGTCCCAGGCTCTCTGGAACTACTGGCCTATGTGGAAATCCAGATCTGCAGAGCCCTACATCTCCTGCTGACTGAGGGTCATGTGCTAATCAGGCTGCCAGAGTTCAGAAGCAGGAGGGCTCAGTGAACTCTGCTGGCTCAGGCAACTTCCCTAATGAGGAGATACAGCCCTTCCACATAAGGGTTTAGACAAGCAGGAAAGACAGTGGGGGGCATTCCTGGCAGGGGCACTTCTTAATGAAAGGCACCAAGGAGAAAGTAAATGAAGCTAATGGCTACTACACATGACTACCCCTGTAAGCCTGTGAGTCACTCACAGAAACCTGACTGTCTAGAACCCAGTGGGGAACTTACATATGTTTATCAAATGAACAGCTGATGGATGGATGGAGGGAGGGAGGCAGGAAGGGATAGAAGGATGGATGGATGGATGGATAGGTGGATGGATGGAGGGATGGAGGGATAGATAGGTGGATGGATTGATGGAGGGATGGATGGATGGATAGATGGATGGATGGATGGATGGACGGATGGACGGATGGATGGAAGGATGGATAGATGGATGTTTGTTTATGGCAGAATAAGAGTTAAGGGGCTTTGCAAATAGACAGGCCTTGGTTTGAATTCTGGTTCTACCCTTGTCTACAGTGTGAGCTGAGCATGTTATGTCATGTCTCTGAGCCAAGGTTCCTCTAAGAGGCCTCTGGAGGTTGTTGTGATGATTAAATATGCATGCAAAGTGTTGAGCTCAAAGCCTGGCATACGGTAGGTGCTCAAGAAATCAGAATTATTATCATCTTCATTGACCAGAAAGGAAAGGGGGAAGAGAAGCAATGCGGCCTGCAGTTAGCTGTCTTACTACCATTTCCCCTCCTTCCTGGAAACTGAATCCTGAATTTCCTTTGGGAAGCTATGTGGTTTGAGTAGCTTAAGCCAATCAGTGTATTCCATTCTCTCAGGCCCCTGTGATTGGTTCAAGGATGTGTATAACACTTCAGCTGGTCCAGTCAGAGTGAATTTCAGAGTATTTGCCAGGAGCGCTTGGACACAGCCCCTCTCTTTCATCAGATGTAACAATGAAGCCAGGAAGAAGCCCAGAGCTGCTGGCAGTTACATTGGGAGCACCTAATGATAACACTGATGTTACAGAAGGCAAAGCAGAAAAACAAAAAGAAACGTTGAGCTGCTGGATTCAGCCTCACCTGAAGCTGGTGATCCCTGGACTTGTCAGTTACATGAGCCAATTAATTTCTTTGATGTTTCAAGCCTATCTAAGCCAGGTTTTCTGATACCTACAGTCAAAAGCACCCTAACTGATACAAAAGGAAGCAGGAATGAGGACGTATGGATGCAACGTCTGGGGAAGACGAGGCAACAGTGTTGGGGGTATCAAACTGTAAAAGGCTTTGGATGCCAGAAATTGGGGCATCCAAATTTTAGCTATTTTTTCCCATTTGACAGACAAACTGAGGCCAGAGAGTTAACCATCAAACAACTTGTCTAAGTTCACGAACTTAACTAAGTATAGAGCTGAAACTGGAACCCACACCCTTCCCCTTCTGCCTCAGTGCCCTTTCCCACATGGCATGCAGCCACCGTACCCCTGGAGAAACATACCCCATCCGAGGGCAATAAATCCCTGGAGCCATTTCCTTTCTGAGAAGAAGGAGATGACGAGGAGCGTGTGAAGGTAGAGGCCTTCCACCAGCAGCCAGGAGTAGTTGGCCATGATGCAGTACTGGAAGAAGACCATGACCAGCTTACAGCCCACCTGCGAAGAGAGGCAGCTGAGCCCCAGGCTGGCGGCCCTGGGCTTCCCTCCAGGAGAGGTGGGGTGCGCCAGGGGTCAGCAGCCAGGCCAAGCAGCGAGCCTCTGGGGCTCACGGCCACCCCCTCTGGCCTTCCAGTATGAGAAGACCAGGCTCATAGAGCTCTCTAGAGTGGAAATCCACAGGCCAGCAGGCTTGGTCAAGATGGCCAAAGGGCTGTTGCAGCAGCAGGAACGGCATTCAAATTCTGGAGCCGGCTGCCAGGTGTCAAACGGTCAGATATCGCCCAATTCCCAGCAGCAAATGAGGGCATTTTTCAGATGAGGGAACTGAGGCCTAGAGAGGGAAAGGGATTTCTGAGCAAAAGGTTAATAAAATCCTTTCCAGGCTTAGTTTTCCTGGAAATAGATGAAGAAGGGACGAGCTAACACTGATGAGAGTACACGACCCTGCCTGGTGCACTGCGTCTGGACTGCAGGCCTCTGAATACCCGAGGGGGGTGCCAGGGTTGGCCTTGCCTAATGCTGTGACTCTTGTGGCAGGCCTGTCCCTTGCAGGGATCCCTGGAAGCTATGCCTGTGGGATTGTCGGGCCGAGGCTTCTATACCAGCACGGCTCCCACTCCCGCACTGTGAGGGCCTCATTTCCTTTCACCGCGCTGTTCCCTGCAGAGAGGACAGCTCCTGGGATGGCCCGAGGGCTGCTGCACAGAGCGCAGGTCACATCCACGTCCACAGGGGAGGAGCGCCCAGGGCCGCCTGTGGCCTCCCAGACACTCCGACTCCAGGCGTGGCCTGTGGCTGGCTCGTTAGTCTGCGGCTTAGTAGAACCCGGAAAGGTTCCCTGCTGGGCACTGCTGGACTTCTCCACTGGTCAGTGATGGGGTGGGGCCTGAATCTGTCTTCTGACTCCCAGGAAATTCCCTGAGACACAGGGGCCCTCCTTGAGGGACCTCTCAGTCTTGAGTCCGAAAACACACACATACACACACGCACGTGGAAAACTATAAGCAATGCAAACCTGACAGATCTGGGAGCAATTACAGATGTGAGTGGTGGGAAGTGGCGGGCAGGCTGACTAAACCAATCTCGATTTCCAATCCCCTTCTCCCTTGCTGGCTTCTGCTGTGGAGACTACGATAGTAAAATACTCAATCTCCCAGCTTCCTTTGCAGTTAGATGTTGTCACATGACACAGTTCTAGCCCGTGAGACGTAGACATAATCTTGGGAAGAGGCAAAGCCTCCCAAAGAGAAAAAAAGTTCAACCTTGACTTTCCTGCTTTTTGCCTGGAACATGGATGTGAGGCCTGGGGTTGCAGCAGCCATGTTGTTAACATGCAGTGTAAAGCATGGGACATGGGATCAAGAATGGCAGAGCAGAAAGGGGAAAGGACTGTGTCCATGATGGCATGGAGCCAGTGCCACCTCTGGGTCACCCACCTGTGGACTGCTTCTGTGGGGAACAACCCCCATCTGTTTAAGGCACCGATGTACAGTTTTCTGTTACATACAGCGAAAGGGATCCTCAACTGGTTCCCAGTGACATTGCAATGAAATAAGACTCATCTGAGCTTTCAGAAGGAGGACGAGGGTTAGATTTAACAAAACGATTGTTCCACTGCACATCTGGGTGTGCAGACACACAAGCATATGCTCACCTTTTTCTTTCTACAATCCCAACCCTCTAGCTTTAGCTATCTGTCTACATTTGGGACTTGGCAGGAGCAGGGAAGGGAGGGGATTGCTATGTGTCTAATTCCCAGAAGGGCTAATCCACTCCAGGACACTGGGAGTTGAACAGCAGCCCCATGGGCTTCTCGACAAACTGCTTTCATGTGGGTCCCAGACTGTGCATCTGGGGACATGAGACTCCCTGAACCTCCCCAGCACTGGCCCCTTTACTCTAGGCATTAAGTGCAGCTTCAGCAGGGACAGCGGGGGCAGCGGGGGAGCAGGCAGGCCTGGCCACGCCGTGGGCCACGCAGGCGTGTTACCCTGTGGGCATCACAACGGGCGACGTCGTCGGAGGAGAAGAGCACGGCATCCTTGATGAAGTTGGACAGGGCACGCAGGATGAAGGACACAAAGAGATGCATGTGGATGTAGTTGCGGGTGCAGTGGAGCTTCCTGGAGGGAGAGGATGCAGGGCCGTAGGGGCCAGAGCCGGAGAGGCCCAGGGCTCAGCCGCCCACCCTCCCCCCACCCCCACGCACCACGGAAACCCAGGCCCTGGACGTGACAACTCTCTAAATCTCCCTGTTTGCAGAACCTGAATGAGCCCAGGCCCCCAGGTGCCCAGCCTACTCTGTCTCATGCTGCAATTAAAAAAAAAAAAAAAAAAAGCTGGGGTTATAAGGGCGAGATCCTATTCTGCTCCGACCACCTCCAGCTCCCAGAATTGTCAGAAGGGGGTGGGGAAGGGGGCAAGTGGCACAGAAAGAACACAGGCTGTGGGGAGAAATCAGACCCGGGCTCTGCCACTTTTCAGCTACACGATCTAGAGCAAGCCCTTCACCAGCCAGAGCCTAGGTTTCCCCCTTGCTGTAGGGGCAGAAGTCTCTTAACTGTTCCCCTCCTTCCGCTTCAGGAACAAGGCTTTCTTTCGGGGAACGCATCCCATCTCTGGTTGGGGATGACGCTAGCCCCACCCTCATGACAGACCTGACCAATCAGAGCTCCATACCTGGCTGCAGTGATTGGCTCAGGGCTGGGCATGTGACCCAAGCCAGCCAATGAGAATTCCCCCAGGACTTTCATTGCAACTAATGAAGAAGGGGGTCCTTGGCCCTGGTGTCGCTGAGCTGGTAGAATGTCCGTCTGCAGCTGCTGGTGGTTGTCTGTGCCAGCCCCGCGTAAAGCCTGCCTGAGGCCAATGCAAGGTGAAGAAATGGCAGGAGACAGACCCAGTTCTGCTGATACCTTGGAGCACCTAGATCCAGGCACACCTAAAGCCAGGTGCCCCTGAACTTGTCAATTGTGTGCATCAGGTCACCTTTGTTTTTCTTAAGGTGCTTTAAGGCGGATTTCTGTTTCTTGCAACCAAGAGTCTGGCTAATATACCTGTAAAATGGGGATGATACCTATCTCACAGCATTGTGTGAAAATCAGAAATGATACATGTAAAGCAACTGGTGCAGTAAGTTCTAGTTATGTTCAGTAGATGTCAAATGAATAAAGGAATGAACGAGGTCACAGAAACTTCCAAGTTTTGCCACAGGTAAGCTTTAGATCAAGAGGGGACAAAGTGGCCCACCCAGACCTTCCTCTCTCTGGTCAGAACAATTAAAAGAGACCCGAAGTCTGTGCTGGGGAAGGCTGGGAAGATGGAGAGCTGGCAGCAGGTTCTTACCGAAAGGCACAGAGGATGCCAAGGGCCACCAGGAGCATCACCAGGGAGGAGCTGTAGCCCACGGTGTACATGACCTTCAGCTTCAGGAGGTACTCGTACTGCAGAGAGAGAGGGCCGTGTCAGCCTCACCCACCGACCTGGCTGAACCTGCCCTTTTCTGCCACAGAGTGCACCTGCTCCAGGCTGCTGAAGCCCCTTCAACTCTGACCGCTATTCTGTTCATACCCCAAGGACACGCATTCATAGACTCACGACATCTTGGCTTGGGAAAAGACCTTGGGGATCATCTGATACCAGTTCAAAATTCTATCCCATACACAGGGCCCCTGACCATCACCCTGAATTCAAGCCTTTGCTTGAATACCTCCACGGATGAGGCACTCACTGCTTTTTGAAGAAGTCACTGGGTATACAACAGTGCAAAGTATTAGATAATTTTTTCTCAAGTGAATCTAAAACCTATTACCTTTAAATTGTACCTATTGGTCCCTTTTCTTCTTCTGGAGTCACTGAAAATAAGTTGAATTTGTCTTGTACCTAGAGCCCATAATTACTTTAAAAATAAATTTTTCACGGTAGAATAGCTTTAGACTTATAGAAAAGTCACAAAGATTCTACAGAGAGGCCTGTCCTTTCTGAATACAATTCTTCTGCCCATCTGTCCCCCACTTATCGTCTGGGCATTAAATATTCCCTGTGTCTTTAATCTCTCTCCATAACCCTTCACCATTTTTCTCCACTAATATCCTCCAGTTTGTGAATGTCCTTCTTAAACAAGACACCCAGAACCAGATAGCTGAAAAGCTCCAGATGCATTCTCTGACCAGGAAGAAATAGAGTGGGACCGTCACTTTCCCTGATCTATACACTGCACTCTTATAAATGCAGCCAAGCAGTCATTTACTTGTTCAGCAGCCACCTCACACTATTGGCTCATCTTTGAGTCAAGAAGATCTCAATGGAATGGAATAATGTGACATATAGAAATAAATGTGAAGACCTGTATTTTTAAGGTTCAAAAAGAAAACCAAATTGTACAACAGTCTTTTTTTTTTTTTCTAGCATCTTTATTGGAGTATAATTGCTCTACAATGGTGTGTTAGTTTCTGCTTTATAACAAAGTGAATCAGTTATACATATGTTCCCATATCTCTTCCCTCTTGCATCTCCCTCCCTCCCACCCTCCCTATGCCACCCCTCTAGGTGGTCACAAAGCACCGAGCTGATCTCCCTGTGCTGTGCCGCTGCTTCCCACTAGCTATCTATTTTACATTAAAAAGAATCAAGGAAATAAAAAGTAAAGCAATAATGCCATACCATTTTTTTTTTACCAACCAAATTAACAAATATTTAAAAGTACTAATGTTCTATGTAGGTGAAGGTATAGTGGGAGTGAAAATTGGTTCAGTCTCTCTGGAAAGTAGCATGCATCAAGAACCTCTGAAACATACATTCCTTCTGGCCACCCCTCTACCTCTAGGAATTAATTCTAAGAATTATCAGAAATATAAAAGCATATTCATATATAAAGATGTTTATCACAGGACCATTTTTGATGAAAAACATGCAAATGTCCAACAACAGAAGAATAGTTAACTAAATTCTTTTAAATCCAAAGGTTAGACTACATTAAAAAAGTGTGCTTACCAAGAGTTTTAAAAGATGTCAGGACATAATGTAATGTTAACTGAAAAGGCAGAATACAAACTTTACATGTACAGTGTGATTTCTGCTTTATGTAAAAAAAAGTGTTAGGTTGAATTGTATGAAACTGTCCTTTTCTGTACATCGAAAAAGACTGCATATTGGCCATCTCATGTGGTTCAGTCTCATACACACACAGAAACAAGACTGTGAGGAGGTGTGTTAGACATTATTAGTGGTTAACTTTGGAGTATAAACTTGTGGATAGAGTCGTTATTTTCATTTGTATTTTTTTCTGTACTTTTCATTTTTCTTCAGTGGGTAAGTACTATCTTATAACCAGAAGAAAAGGGTAATAAAAAACAAAGAACCACAGGCACAAGAATACTATTGGGAAAATCTGACAGCTGTTCATATGAAAATGACTTTGAGGTTTGAGTGGCCCAAGCTCCATGGCATTAAAGAAGTGTATGCAGAGAGAACATGCACAGGCTTCAGAGCCAAGAGACAAGGGTTCCAAACCCAGGACTGCTACTACTCAACAGCTGCGTGACCCTGGGCAAATTACTTAACTTCTCTGAGCCTCAGATTCCTCATCTGCAAAATGCGGATAATATCTACCGTGCAGGCATTTTGGAAGAACAAACAGGGTATCAGGTAGTGTATCTAGACAGTGTCTGGCACTTGGAAGACACTCAGCACATGTTGATTCTTCCCCATCTCCACCCTCTACCCCCACCACCACCATTCAGTCTGAGTCAGCAGTCTGACACTGCCGGTGTGAGGTATGGGTATGAGGTAGCTGCTAGGACTATTAGGTCTCTTCTCAGTTACATTAATGGAGTGCTGTGAAGCAGGCCACGTTGGAATGTCTGGAGTGTTTGGTCCAGTTCTGCTTCTCTTATTTTAAGAGAAGCATTAGTAAAGTGGAGCATTTCCGGAGGAAGGTGACTGTCATCTGAACTGGCTACACTGCACCCTAAAGGAAACAAACAAGCTTAGGGAAGCTGAGTACCAAAACACCTGAGACGTAATTGTGAGCCCCAGGGGTAGGGGAGTAAGCACAAAGTCGACGGGACTCAGACCGACCGAAAGTTTCCTGGCAGCAGAGGGAACCTTTGACGGGCTGGCTGCCATGTGACCCTGTGCTTCTGCACTGAGGCGACTGCAATTCCAGAAGCCAGAAGCCACCTCTCAGCAACAAGCGGGGAGCCACAATGGCAGTAAGTTGCATTGGATGAATGGCTCCTAGATGTAGGGACGTCAAAGAGCAATGAAATGTCAAAAAATCGGAGGACCAATGTGTCAGACTAGGATGTCATCACGTGTGGGATGTGCCCCACAGCTGAGGGCGTCGGCCTCACCCCGGGGACGCCTGGATCTGCAGCCCCGGGTCAGGAACACATCAGGTTAGCCTATGGCAGCGTGAGGAGGCCTGGGGTGACAAGCGTGCAGGGTCCTGGCTGAGCATCCCGTGCTGTCCTGTGGCTGTGTTATTGTCTGCCGGGGTACCCTCAGGATGCCCTGGCCTGCTCTGCCTTTGTCTGTAAGATCTGACCCCAAAAGAGCCCTGTTCCCAGGAAGCCAGATGTGACCACAGTGCCCCAGGCCTCAACCTCTGCAGCTGTGCACCCCCTGCCCCCCAGAGGGCTGCTGCCTGTCCTGGATCAAGCTGCCCATCTCTCTGCTGTGTGTCTCGACTGGGCCCCCTCCTTCTCTATCCTCTACATCAGGGGACAGCAGACGTTTTCCATAAAGGGACAGACAAAACATTTTAGGCTTTGGGTACTATTTGGTCTCTTTTGCAACTACTCAACTCTGCCCTTTCGGTGCAAATGGGTGTGGCTGTGTGTCAATAAATCTTTATTTGCAAAAGCAGATGGTGGGCTGGATTTGGCCCAAGGGTCCTAGTTTTCTAACCTCTGCTCTGGGTAAGCAAACTCCATTTTTTTTACCCAAGTGGCAGCTTTGCCTGGTCTTTCTGCTGATCTGAGTCCACTGTTGGCAACTGGTGTGTGCCAAGTCAGGAAGTTGCAAAAAGACAACCAACAAATATATACTTTCACCATCATTTGATTAAAAGAGAAAAAGACATTTCAACACTAAGAAAGGATGATCCAATTTCAGAATAAAAGAAAAAGTTTGTGGGAATTCCCTGGTATTCCAGTGGTTAGGACTCCACACTTTCACTGCCAAGGGCCTGGGTTCAATCCCTGGTCAGGGATCTAAGATCCCACAAGCCCTGGATTTCCCTGGTGGTGCAGTGGTTAAGAACCCGCCTGCCAATGCAGGGGACACGGGTTCGAGCCCTGGTCCGGGAAGATCCCACGTGCCGTGGAGCAGCTAAGCCCATGCACCACAACTACTGAGCCTGCATTCTAGAGCCCACGAGCCACAACTACTGAAGCCAGAGCGCCTAGAGCCCGTGCTCTGCAATAAGAGAAGCCACCGCAATGAGAAGACCGCTCAGCGCAACAAAGAGTAGCCCCCACTCGCTGCAACTAGAGAAAGCCCACGTGCAGCAACAAAGACCCAACACAACCAAAAAGAAAAAAAAAAAGACAAAGTCTGTGCTTGTCTGTGGACTGACATTTAAGGACCAGTGAATCACATGGTCTGGAAACCCTTCCACCAGTCTTAGGGATTTTTTTTTTTTATGTGAGCTGAAGCCACGGTAGGTCATCTTTTTACTATTTTAGACAACTAATTTTCTGAGTTAAGTCCAGAACTTTGCATTTATCTTTGTTTTCATTTATTTATTTATTTTTGGCCGTGTTGGGTCTTCGTTACTGCATGCTGGCTTTCTCTGGTTGTGGTGAGCGGGGGCTACCCTTGGTTGCGGTGTGTGGACTTCTCACTGCGGTGGCTTCTCTTGTTGTGGAGCACGGGCTCTAGGTGCACAGGCTTCAGTGGTTGTGGCATGCGGGCTCCATAGTTGTGGCTCACGGCCTCTAGAGCACAGGCTCAGTAGTTGTGGTGATGGGCTTCGTTGCTCCATGGCATGTGGGATCTTCCTGGACCAGGGCTCGAACCCGTGTCCCCTGCATTGGCAGGCGGATTCTTAACCACTGAGCCACCAGGGAAGCCCGCATTTATCTTTGTTAAATCTCTGCTCCTTCTTCTGGCATTTTACAGTTTCAACCCGGCTGTGAATAACATGGTTAAGGCCCTGGGCTCCGTTCCCACCCAGCTGATTAGTCTAAACCAACAGTTCTTATATGTGGCTTTCATATACATAACTCACAAAGCCAAAAGCTCTTTAGGGTCCTCAATAACTCCCAAGGGTGTAAAAGGATCCCGAGGCCAAAAAGTTTGAGAACTGCTGCTCCAAGCCAAGCATGTGTCCCAGCCCTCTGCCAGGGATGGTCTGGAGGTGGACAGGCTCAAGTCACGTTGGGCCAGTGAGATGTCAGGACAGGCTTGCTGGCGGCCTGGCTGAGAAACTTTCT